GACACAGCCTTGGATCATTAGCAAGCTCATTATTAAGTCAAAATTCAAGTGAATCTCCATTACTAATTTGGAGTTCAGACAAGCATTTTACATGTTTTCGTCAGTGACCTTGAACTTGCCAAAACCAACATGGATCAAGGTCATGACAAACCCACGGGTCAAAAGCATTTTCTGTAAAATGTAAAAGCCAGCCTCTAGTAAGTCTCAATTACAAAGTTATATGCCAGACCAGAATTTTATACTTTTTTGTAAGTGACCTTGAACTTGCCAAAATGAGTTTGGGTTAAGGTCGGCTTTACTCTCAGGTCAAAAGCAATCTTTGTACCAAGTATGATCTACCAGTATTCTCCATTACATAGTTTTTCTGCCAGTAACTATGTACTTGCCGGAATGACCTAGGGTCAAGGTCGACATACACTATTGCATCATCAGCAAATTTTATTCCATGTATGAGCTTCCAAAGATTCACCGTTACAAAATTTTCAGACAGTGACCTTGAACTAACCAACATGACTTTGGGTCAAGGTCTTAACACACGTGGGTCAACAAAGCTATCACTGTACCAAGAATGAGCATCCAATGAATCTCCGTTACAAAGTTTTGGACTGGACAACAAATATTTTAACAGTGACCTTTAACATGCTGGCATGACTTTTTGTCAAGGGCAAGGCAACCCCTTGGGCCATAAGCAATCTCTGTACAAAGTATGAGCTTCCAGTGTCTTTCAATAACAAAGTCATAGCAAGGAGAAGATTGTATGGACAGAAGGACACACAGTAAAGGGATTTCTGTATAACACACACCTCAAATCCCTACACCCAAACCCCCTCCCACAAACTTTGTTGTTGTGGGATATTTAGATATTTGTTACAATTTCAATAGCATAGAAGATTCAACAAAAAAGTAGAGTAGCCAGTCGGACTGCGCAAATTCAGTTTTAATGCAAAAATGAAATATAAATATTTTTTAAAAACTTTCATGAATACATGTACGTGCTAAATATTACTTTCCTTGCCTTGTTGATGAGGAAAATTTTATGTTGCCATGGAGATGGAAAATGTTTAAATAGTCATTAGTTTACACAGAAGTGTATTGTATATTATATTCTTTTACAATTTGTTTTTCCTACTCAATGATTTCAATTTAAACATTTTATTGACTTTTGAATTCGGCCTACTCATGCCCATACGGACTTTGTCAGGAACTGATTAACCTCAGCCTTCGGCCTCGGCCAACCAATACCTCACCAGGTCTGCATTGTCACAAGAAGACCTCCTCAAAAGTTAATATATTTTTTTATAATGAGATTACTGTATTTTTTAAACTTGTCAGAAATTAGCCTATCCAGTTTTCGTTGCAAATATTGGTCATGATGCAAAATTTTCAGGAATTTGAAAGAAATTTTAAGACTCTTAAGTCTCAATAAGCCACTAGCATGAAAACTGGGTCATTGATTTACCATTTGAAAGTGGAGAAAATATCAGTAAGTCAAGTAAATGATTTTTCATGTCTATAAGTAGAATGTTTTTGCCTAGTTTACATCCTTAAAGTCACAGATTTTTGTTGAGGAATTGCTACATACTGATTCTTTATAAAATGTATTTGTTGCTATGTGGACAAGTTCTGTTACTATGGATGAATTAACTGAAAAATACTTTTAAAAAACCAGTTTGACAATCTCGATTCTGGGCAATAGCAATTAAACTATAAGAATCAGGTAACCTTTTAAAAACTAAGATGAATATGTTCTAAAAATAACTTTCAATGCTTCGTTGCTAAGAAAAATTTGCTGTTGCCATGGAGATAGCTTATTGTAAAATAGTCTTTAGTATACAAGGAAGAATATTTTATATTTTATTATTTTAAAATTTGTTTTTGGTACTCAATGATTACAATTTATTCGATATTTCTTCCAATGCTTTTCATTTTCCCCTTTTTAAATTTATCAAACCATCCATTTTTGTTGCCTAGCAACAGATAGGAATTTCAAATTTGCAAAACTTTTTATTTCACATTCTTACAGAGGCTTTCCTGTGGTTTTACAGGAAATAGATGAAACAATTGTATTAAGATGGTGAAATGAATAATATCGACTTGATTTTTGCTAAAATCAAGCAAACTGCTGAATCAGCAAAAAATGGGAAACATGTATCTTTACCTGTCTCTATAGCAAATATATTAGAGAATGTTATTTTTTTTTTATTACGTTGACAGAACACTTTAAATGTGTATCTTCCTTATTACACTAGATAAGAAAAAAAAAATACTGTTTTTACATTTTGTATAAAGCCTTCAAAATGAGTGAAATTTCGTCAATCTACAAAGAAAAATTGGCCGGTTGCTAGGGAAATTTCTTTGTCCAGGTTTCCATAGTAACAATGACCCCAAATATTTTTCCTTCCACATACATGGCTAATAGCCCAAGAAAAAACTGTGAGTGAAAAATCATTAATTTCTGAGAACCCCCATGTATCACCTTTAATATATAGGCTGCCTGATTGTTACGTGGATCTGTACTTAAAATACTGACAAAGTGACCTTGAACTTGACAACCTTTAAACGCTCAGCTCTTCAAAACCGGCAGCTCAAAATGCTCAAATTTAATACCTATTTTGTTTTATTTATGAGAGAGAGGGGGGGGGGGGTCTGGGCTGTTTAGCAAGTACACTGCTTATCATAAGAAATTCTAAAAATTTACCTGCATTAGAATCCAATGACCTTGACCTTTGACCTACTTTTTCTAGAATACTCCAAAACATTCCGAAACATTCAATCTTTTAAATTTTTGAAGAGATGTGGCTTTGGTTCAGATATATTACATGTTTTTGACCTCATGATACTGTACTTTTTTAAACTGTATTGTGTGATATACACTTACAGCACGAATTGAAATTTTAATAGAAAGATAAGTTTATAAAAATAAATCGGGTTCGGTATACCGACTCAGATTTGTTGTCGGCTGTGCTGAAGCAGAGAAATCTGAAGATAAAACACTTGAAGTCATGAGAAGTTTATCAGAAATTTCTGTTAAGTTACAAAATCAAAGGATTGTTGGATACGTAAGAATAAATGAATGAATATTTTTTTAACTATTCATTTCATCTTTGAGGATTGTAAAATCATAAATTCTATTTGATCGTCACATTTTGCAAAATACCAGAAGTAATTTTATCATAGTCTTACTACGTTTTTTACTAAATAATTTAGTTGTAAGCAGATGCATGAACTATGCAGGTCCAGTACATTCACTATGTAGCTATACGTAGCTAAAAATACATACATAGGTACATATTTAAACTGTTATGCATGCAAATAATTTTTTAACACGTTTAAACCAAACAAAATACAAAACAAAACAAAAAATGACCACACTTTCGAATTACACTGTATTTACTACTTGTACTAAGCGCACGCAGCACAGTTAAGGCTATAAAAAGGGGGCGGAGCCTAATTTGTACGGGAAATATTAACTATGACATCATACAAAACCAACAATTCTTAAAAATACTATAAAATGATATGATTTGCTATTTTAAACTATAGGAGACCATCAAACTACATCAAAACTTACTATAACATGCTGTTTTGTCTTTAGTTAAATCCCACATAGCAATTTAAGGTATAAACAAGTCACTGATCGTGATGCACTTGTCGATGTGACGTCATTTCGTAAAACTTGACGCAGTTTGTATGCAGTGAGAGGCGGATCAAGTAGGCCTAATATTTTCACAACGAAAAATGTATTCTATAATTAAATAAAATTTTATCTGAAGATACTTAAGAGGCCATTAACTTGGATGCAATGTCTTCTTTATGATTTTATTCATATATATTCCGTATATTTCCTATATAATTGATACTGCCGTATATTGTATGCAAGTACATCGGAGGGTAATGTAAGGGTCATGATAAATCGATCTAGTGCAAGGGCATACACTCAATGGATCACAGTAAGCTTTTACATATAAACTCTACAAGTATTAAGGTATCCGAAAAGTGCTGCGATCCTGGTGAAATCTTGAAGGTTAATTAATTATATCTATATTTAATGCCATTGACCAGCAAAAAAATACATCATGCAGTCATACAAATATGATTTTAACAATGAAATAGCAGAATCTATAGAGGATCGCAGCACTTTTCAGAAACTACAATGCGTGTTGAAAATATCTATACACTAAATTTAGTATTTTAACTTGATTATGCCCTTGCACTAGTGAAATTTATAGGTGACCTCGATACTGCAAGTATATGCGCTGTATCACTTGACTGCCGCATCACGTGACAAGTCTAAATATAAAATCTATATAAATTTATCGTCCTTAATATGTAATTATTAACCATATATTACATTAGTCCAATATAAGTAAAGTACTGAAAAGAATCGCCATTCTGATTAAGAATATATTTTTAATCACAAAAAGTGCCGATATTTCCATTGCGCACCTTAACGGTACTGCGTACTAGTTTTTTTTTCTTTGTACAAGGGACCTATTTATCTGGACTGAGATTTGGCTTACCTTGATACTGTGGAATCATCATTGTTTGTGGGGTGGACCAATTTTCGTGGATTTCTTGGGTATCTCTTACCCATGAATTTACATCCCCATGAATGTTTATGTTGTAAACAAATTGATTCATAATGAATCTACTGTATAGAAGAGTAACCCACAAAAGTACATCATATCCCCACAATCAAGTGAAATTGACCCCCACAAATTAAAATGATTCCACAATAATTGGACTAATGCTCTCAGCAGAGAGCCGAATCTTAGTCCAGATTTAGCATGTTTAGGGATCTATGTTCTAACTAGTACATATAAGTCTCTGATTGTTATTACATGTAAGGTAGAATTGGCAAGAGTTTAAAGCAGAGAAAGTGGGGTTGATAGAGTTCCTAAATGAATGACAAACATTAGTATATATAATTATGTACTGTACATGTACTTGTAGGTATTGTAAGTATAGAATGCCTTTATGATTGGGTTATTTTATTTCAGTTTGTCCTCCTATTGCAAATTGCAACCACCGCAGATGTACATCACCCGGTGATAACATCTGTGTTTACTGTGAAGGAGAGGTTTTGGAGAAGGACTATTACAGGGCATACACACCGGTTCCTAGTCAGAAAAAGAAGTGTGAAAGTAAGACATATGTATCTCTACACTTGGTCATACTAAATGATCAGGATACAGCCTATTGTGCAGCCTATCAATGCAGAGTTAAAATGAATTTATCATTTCATGATTTTAATTTAAGAAATTAATGCACAGGTCTACTGGTAATTTCCTACCTTACATTAGTTGATGTTTTGGGGGGAAAGGGGATTGCATTATAGATTAATTGGAGGATATTGAGATGTTTCTCAAATAATATTTTAATTTAGGCTACGGGTATGAAAAAAAGAAATTAGGTCATGTAGTATGTCATTAATTAAATAACATATAACCAAGAGAAATAACAGAAGGGAAAGAACTCTGTGAAGTGTGCATTGTGGGTATTACATTATTCACAAAATACCATTAAACCAAGTTATTTTCAGTTAATGAAAGGGGATATGGTTTAATGATGGAATCGCATGAAACAATTGTAAATTAGGCACTACCTGAATTTGATTTCTCAAAGTCATACATATAGCACCTAGCTTAGCAATGAAGAATTTATCATGCTAAATTATTTCCCCTTTTTAGGTTAGTAAGTACAAGTTTAATAATTTAAGTTTTCAGTATTCATGCCCTTATAGATAAATTAGAAAAGGATTCCATTAGAAATCTATTTATTTACAGAGCTCAACATGGGTTGTTTGAGGGCTTTATTTTAGATGACAATTAACTTGGCATAAACTTCTATTTCAGTGTTAACTTAGCATTAACTAAAAGTATCAGACGTTTAATGATCTTCTGTGCAACTGAATCCATTATGTGCTTAATAAGTTAAGTTATTGTCATTGTGTTAGGTACACAGTGACACATGAAAAGGCAAATATATTTAATGAATATATTAATGTATAAAAAATCTTTGAATCATTAAATTTTCTGCAGTATACTCTAGATATATGAAATGAAATAAATTTCCTCCCAATTTTTTTGTATTAAAAATATTTCTTGAGAGGCAATTAAATGTATAAAGAAATGTAATTAATACTTTGCACCACAGAAACAAGGTTATGTATGTACAAGGAACCGAATACACTTGTGAAAAATACTGACAATTTTTTTTTCATTTATAAAAAATGAAATTTACTCACTGATAGATTTGCTGAAGTTTGGATAATATCAGGGACCTGTATACTAGTATATAGTATATAGGTCCCTGATAATATACTATAAATTCTTGTTTATTTCAGAGGCCTGTTCCTGGAGGTCTGATAGCACAAGGTGTTTCCCTGGGACCTGTACCGATGGATTGGCCTCCCAGTGTAAATGTTCCCCTGGCTTTGAGGGCCACCACTGTGAACAATGTAAGTGATTACAGTAAAACATGGTTATGGCAAACACATTTAATTGTAATGAATTCATGCTAGTAAAGTGATTTTCATTCACTGCATCAGTTTTAAATCATAAAATGAACTTAACAAATGTAATGAATACAAGTAACATTTATAATGAATCAAAATCATTCGTCCATGGCACTTCGCTATACACAAGTTTTACTGTACATGTATGCATGTCAAAAGGATTGATGGAAACATGCTCTGTGTTTCTGTTTGATTGGAAAATGTTATTGAATTTTGAATTTACAGTTCAGTTTTGTTTAGAATATATAAGTTTGCAAAAATACATAAAAATTAATACCTATACTCAAAAGAGGAATTGAAAATTCTTCTCAGGATTATGCACCACTGGGATTTAGGAGTTTAAACAGAAATTGAGTGGCATTGCTATGAATACATTTAAAAATATTTTAAAGAAAACAAGTGTAACTGTAGATATAAATACATGTAGTAAAACTCAGACGTAAAGACAAGCAGAAATTACCATTAACTGTAGTATTTAATATTCAGTGGTAACAAAGGCCTCAATCATGGAGAATGAGTGTAAATTGGAAGATCCAAGAGGGAGAATCCTAGCAAACCCTGCTGATCTAAATGAGGGCCCTCCACAGCCTACCCGCTGGACTAACAATGTCATCTGGGTGAGGGCCGTAACAAAATGGGATGCCTTATTACAGCTTCCAGCAGCACCTCCAGTCATCTCTGGATTGGACCATTACGTCACTGACTTTAGATATGGAATTAAATTCGCATCTACTAAATTACGTCAATTTAGGGGTAAGATTTTGTTGAGAAAGACAAAGTTCAGAAAACTTTGTGATACATATTATTTAGAGCATCTAGGAATTTTGTAATTTAGAGAATTTTTGACTCAAAATTGCACTTACTTTGCATAAAAATTTCTACAGATATAAGGGATTCACTTTCATTTGCAGCGGGAAGAAAAATTGTTGAGCTGACTCACATTTGTGAGGGTGTGTCAGAAAGAGCTCCCAAAACAACATCGTTTTCCTGCAAAAAAACCTTTTATAATCTTGGACGCTCACTGCAAGATTTGAAACATGACGATCAGTATGTTTAGTACCTCCTCTACTAGTTATTGAATGTGTATTTCTTTACCCAGATTTCATATTTTGGCACCATTTGTGTAGTTCTTTGTTGTGTACTTATAAGTAGACCTAATTCAGAAACAATTAATTTTTTTTTTTATTTATGACAGAAGAAGTACTAGCTGTTAGTGCTAATACATTATCTTGCAAATTAAGATTCCCTGACATGTTATGCCACATACATGTTAATTTTGAAAATACTTATATACATAGTATTACATGTAGTATACATACAGTACTCATCAAAACTAACTATAAAATATTAGAGATTATATATACATGTAGTAATTAGTTTTACACATTTGTCTATGCAAGTCACTTAAATTATGAGGAAAGCTTTTTGTCTTAAAAATATAAAAACATATTACTTTCCTAACACATACAGACTATACATGCACCATACACTATATTAACATGACTCTACCAGTACATACATGTACTAACATGACTACATGCTAATATGACAGTCAAAATCATTGGTACAAAAAAGTTAGATTTTTATTTATGTCCTTATATTTTACTACAACATGTTATATAAAAGATGATATAAGTCATTTTTAAGTTATGAACAGTCTGCCTGTAAATAATTTGAGATTATTTACATGTAATAAAAAAAAAAATAAGGGATACCTAGAAAACCATCTCCCATTATTCTAATGAATACATACAGAAGTTCTGAAGGGATTTTGACTCCATTTGGAAATACAAAACTCTTTTTTACCATCAGTACATTGAGGTCATAAAATAATAACGTATAAAATGTTACAGATTGATATTCTATCTCCAAGCCACGACAGGAGGTTATGTTAAAGTGAAAAACAGAGAGGCAAATAATAAGATACAGTACCATCCCTTAGTGGGCAGGACAACAGAAAGAGAGTTTACATACCACTGGGACTTGGAGAAACCTTATCATAACTTAGTGAAAGGTGTTGATAATCCACCATTCCTTAGTGTTCCAGATTTAACAGAAAATGTGAGTGGTATACATACATATATGTATCAGTTTTTATTTTAAAATAATTTTCTACTACTGGTTAAAGTCGTCTGCAGTGGCTATAAAGTAATTAAGACAACACAATTTAAAAGTTTGGACAAATTACCATTAAAGCTGTATGAGCCAATTTTTTTTATTTTGGAAAATTATGATTTACCACCATCATTCAACTACAGTGTGAAAGTTTCTCACTCTCGAAAAATAACACTAGTTTGCATCTGTTAAAGAGAAAAAAGAAATTGTAAGGTTGAAATAAATTATTATTGTGGTTTCACAATAAATACAATTAATGACTGCTGATAATGCACATGCACACTACCGGTAAATAGTTTAGTTTCAATCGTTAACATGAGATTTCATGAGTGCATACTAGGAGTTGTGGAAAGCTGGTTATTTTGGCAGAATTGGGACACACAAGAACCTAGGAGAGCAGTACGTGGTCAAACAGTCTATTTAATTGAATTAACAAAATTCTTGAACATAGTACATGTATGAAGTAAATAGGTGCTAAACTTCGAAACTCCACGGTAAACAAAAACACCTCTTTTACCTTTTTTATACTTTCAAAAGTCAGGTGATCATTCTCAAAAGATCTTTACGCTGATTATTCATGAGTTTTTGCTGGTAAGCAAAGAACTACATGTATTTCTTTTAACTATAACTTTGGCACAATACATTAAGGATAAGTTGAAAGGATATTTTTCTTCATTTGAATATATGATAACAGACCTAGACAATAATATCCATGGGTAAAAAATACTTCACACTTGTGGACTGTACAGCTTTAATTATTTATTTCACTTTAATTGATATGGAGTTGAAAATGGAGAATGATACATATAGTGAGAAAACAAATATAGTGTATATTAAATTAAAAATATTCCTCAGACACAATAGCATATTTATCATATATTAAACTTTATTGTCATTCAGCTAAAGATTATTTTGCTTTGAATTTATTTGAAGGTTATTTTATAGGCAGGAGCGGTATTCAGATAAGGTTTCAACAGCATGATTTAAGTGGAAAGTGTTATTGTTTTTACAGCCAAAAGTTGACATGACATGGGGAGGATGGATAGACGATTTGTCAGGGCTGGAGAAGTACCAGTATGAAGTGTATGAGCTAGGACATGATGGGAAACTGTTAGGAGAACAGCAGGGAAAGATGATCAAAAGTCCAACAGATTTAGCACTTAATGTTACAGGGGTAAGAGCATAAATTACAAGGGCTGTGTATTGAACAAAATATTTCAATATAATATAATATTTATAACACCCACCCCACCCCCACCCCAGCTTAAAAAGTAAGATATGTAGTGATGGGGTGCTTATCTGTACATTCGTCACATTTAGAGGTAAACATCTCATATCTGCAACTCCTCTTATACCACCAAATTAAAAATGAGACTTTTACAGAATCTTTATCATATAATGCCATTGTAATCTACTATTTTACCTTTAGGTCATTGAGATACTGTATGTGTACTTAAAAAAGCAGGCTTCATATTTTAGAGGCTTTGGCGCAGACAGTGATGCGCTAATTCATGATTACCGTTAATAAATGAATACAATTTCATATGATGTTTTACATTACTTGCTTGGATCTGCCATTCTATCAGGCCTTGAACATCGAACCCGATTTAGTCGTCATCTATTTGTCATCTATTTCACCAGGCAATAGGCATATATAAATGTATGTAAATATATATCTATGTATAATGTGATTTTTTAGCTCACCTGAGCCGAAGGCTCAAGTGAGCTTTTCTGATCACATTTTGTTCGTCATCCGCCCGTCCGTCTGTCCGTCTGTAAACTCTTCACATTTTCGACTTCTTCTCAAGAAGTACTGGGCCAAATTCAACCAAACTTGCCACAAAGTATCCTTGGGTGAGGGGGATTCAAGTCTCAAGAACAGAAAAGCCATGATTAGTCAAATTGATATGGAGGCATCCTTGGGTAGTGTAGAATGAAATTAGTTCAAATGAGGGCCCCCAGGGGTAGGGTGGGCCCACAATGGGGGATCAAACTTTTACAAATGAATATATGGGAAAAAAATCTTCTGCTCAAGAACAGCAAAGCCATTTGTTATATTGATATGAAAGCATCATCAGGTAGTTTAAAATTCAACCCCCCACCCCTCCCCCCCCACCCCTTGTAAACTTTTCAATACTGAATTGATTTTTGCTTTTTAGCTCACCTGAACTGAAAGCTCAAGTGAGCTTTTCTGATCACATTTTGTCTGTAGTCCGTCTGTCTGTAAACTTTTCACATTTTCGACTTCTTCTCCAGAACCACTTGGCCAATTTCAACCAAACTTGCCACAAAGCATCCTTGGGTGAAGGGGATTCAAGTTTGTTCAAATGAAGGGCCACATCCTCTTTCAAGGGGAGATAACAAAGGATTAGTGAAAAATTAATAGCATCTTTTAAAAATCTTCTTCTCAAGAACCACAGGGCCAGGAAAGATGAAACTCATGTGGAAGCATCCTCATGTAGTGTAGATTCAAGTTTGTTCAAATCATGACCCCCGGGGGTAGGGCTGGGCCACAATGGAGGATCAAAGTTTTACATAAAAATATATAGGAAAAACCTTTCAAAATCTTCTTCTCAAGAACAGCAAAGCCATGATGAGTCATATTTAATTGGAAGCATCCTCAGGTAGTGTAGATTCAAGTTTGTTCAAATCATGACCCCCCGGGGTAGGGCGGGGTCACAATGGAGGATCAAAGTTTTACATAGAAATATATAAAAAAACCTTTCAAAATCTTCTTCTCCAGAACAGCAAAGACATGATAAGTCATATTTATATGGAAGCATCCTCAGGTAGTGTAGATTCAAGTTTGTTCAAATCACGACCCCTGGGGGGTAGGGCGGGTCACAATGGAGGATCAAAGTTTTACATAGAAATATATAGAAAAAACCTTTCAAAATCTTCTTCTCAAGAGCAGCAAAGCCATGATGAGTCATATTTAATTGGAAGCATCCTCAGGTAGTGTAGATTCAAGTTTGTTCAAATCATGACCCCTGGGGGTAGGGCGGGGCCACAATGGAGGATCAGAGTTTTACATAGAAATATATAGGAAAAACCTTTCAAAATCTTCTTCTCAAGAACAGCAAAGCCATGATGAGTCATATTTATATGAAAGCATCCTCAGGTAGTGTAGATTCAAGTTTGTTCAAATCATGACCCCCCGGGGTAGGGCGGGGCCACAATGGAGGATCAAAGTTTTACATAAAAATATATAGGAAAAATCTTTAAAAATCTTCTTCTCAAGAACAGCAAAGCCATGATGAGTCTTTTATATGGAAGCATCCTCAGATAGTGTAGATTAAGTTTGATCAAATCATGACCCCTGGGGGGTAGGATGGGGCCAAATGGGGGATCAAAAGTTTTACATAAGAATATATAGAAAAAATATTTCTTCTCAAGAACAGAAAAGCTATGTTTAGTCATACTGATATGGAATTATCCTCAGGTAGTTTAGATTCAAGTTTGTTCAAATGATGACCCCTTGGATAGGGAGGAGCCACATTGGGGGATCAAATTTTTATAAAGGAATAAATGGGAAATTTTTTTTTTAAATCTTCTCAAGTACAACAAAGCCATTTGTTATATTGACATGGAAGCATCATCAGGTAGTTTAAAATTCAAGCCCCCCCCCCCCCCCCCCCCCCCCCCCCGGTAATATTTTCAATACTGAACTGATTTGTGCTTTTGCCTAGCAAATGTGCTCAAGTGAGCGATGTGGCCCATGGGCCTCTTGTTTTTCCTAGCCATTGTTCTCAGATGAGCGATGTGGCCTATGGGCCTCTTGTTTCCAAATTCACTTTTAATTAAATTTTATTGTAATATAAAATGGGTTATTGGCATTTGTCACTTGGACCATTAAGTTCAACCGTGTCGACCCACGTACTCTATATATGAAGTTGTGAACCTTGGCAATGTATATACGTCATGTACACACAGTATTAGTTACACAATGCTACTCTAACATATATAATTACACATTATTGATCCTCATGGATTAGAAAATTTTAAGTTAATTGTTTTTAATTAACAGTAAACGGTAATTGAATAAAAATTATTTAGAGTAAGATTTAAAAATTTTACTTTAACTCATAGACAATAAGTACAACTTACAACAAATTTTACTTTAACTCATACACAATAAGTACAACTTTTTTTTTTAAAATAAATTTTATTTTTTAGCGCTACATGTTTAGCGCTAATTTATGACTACGCCAACCACTCCATACCCGGTGATTGCGCTAAATTTTGAATACGTTAATTTATGTACACATACAGTATATCTTTCTATAACATCTGGAGTACCCATCTCTTATTTGCAGCTCCTTCTATACCACAGCATAAAATTTAATGAGACTTTTATAGAATCTTTATTACTAATTCCATTTTGCAACTCCTGCTTTCTTTTTGATCGGACAGGTATTTTGGGTTTTCCATAGCAAAATCTTGATATTGATTCTTTCTGTTATATTAAGGGTACCCTTCTCTTATCCTTAATTCCTCCTATCCTACTGAATAAAATTTCATGTGACTTTCATATAATCTTAATAACACAGTGTCAATGTTCTGATAAGACAGATATTTGGGGTGAACTCTGCCTTTATCCTCATATGGTAGTGGGGGAATCATTTTGTGAGCTCTATGCTCACAGTACTTCTATAGTTTTAATATCTAGATCAGTTGTATTTTAAAAGAGTCCAACATAGTCTTTTTCCATCATTTACCATGAATTCAAATGAAACTGCCTGACTGCTACATGTTGGAATTTAATGTCTTGATAATAATCACTCTTGAAAATTTATGTATTTCGGTATATAGATTTAGCCTTATAAATTTTCATATTAGAGTTTAGGGAGGTCAAAATATCAAAGTATGAAATGCAGCTCTAAATATCATTGTAATGGGGATTGAGTATGTTGGCCCTGTAGCTCAGTAGTACCTGCATGGTTAGCTTGGGGTCCTGGATTCAAGTCCCAGTCTGGTGAATGCTTCTTCCTGCCTTTTATATTTGGATCAACCCAACAACAATGCTCAAAAGTGGTTTAGACAAGTTTCAGTGAGGTTTTCAAGGTTGAAAACCTCCAGAAAAGGAGGAGGATGTGTATAATGGGGATAGGAAATAAGGAATGTTTTATTTTGAATAATTTATCTTTTTAAGCAATATAAGTCAAAGATAGATGCAGAATTTTGTAGATCTTCTGAAAATTCAGACAGACATACATCTCTGGTATGTCTATATCCTAATTTTTTCCCAGGAAGATACAGTTCTGCGGATCAAAGATACTCTCATTAATTTTGAAGTTTGTTTAAACTATATTTTAGGAATCCTTTGACTTGCCAGCACCAGGAATGTACTCTATTCATTTCTCAGCTTTTGATAAAGCAGGGAACCACAAAACAGGAAGAAAAGTCCTTCTTTATGACAACATTTCTGAAGTCACCACCAACCCTTCCAAGGTGACAAGGGTCACCACAGCTACTAAGGAAACAAGTTATGTATGGGTTACCAAGGATACCAGATATGTGGATATAATGTGGAGAGACAGATTTCGTAATTCCCGCCATGAAAACAATCGATGGCTGAACAGTGTTGCATCTACTACAGGAGTGGAATCAAAATATGATGATCATTATGGAGAAAGACAAAGCAAGGAGATTCCAAATGTTCATGGTATGTTTGTTTCTACTTTAACGAGGTTCACTCCTGAGCTTTTGAGCAGATTTTTATCTTAACCTATATTTTAAAAATTATGCATTATGTTTTAATTCTTACAATAAATTTGGATTCAACAATGCCAATTAAACTATATTAAGTTAACACTCCATGATTAAATTCCATACCAAAGGCATTAAGTGAGGAACTATATTTTGTGGCGGAAGGGTTTTTAGAAGAATATGATCATTTTTTCTCTTTCGAAGTATTAGTTTGGATTCCTATTTTTACAAGCATTCTGCGCACAGATTTATTTTGTACAGTGAACTGTTTTATACTGGTCCTTAATTATATATCAAATTAACTGTCATGAATTCTATCATCATATTTGATAAATATAACAAATATATTGTGAAAAAACAAGGAAAAAAATAGCACTAATTTAAGCTTAAAATTAGCACTATTTTAGTAATATCTAAAAATCAACATCACAGACCCTCACTTTTAATTTTATTTCCTAAATATAACATACTTTTAACCATTCTTCTTAAATTCAGTAAAATGTCATTACGTTCAAATGATTTTTTGCTTGTTAAATTTTTAATTCCAGCAAAATGAAATTTTTTGAGTGCAAAAAGGTCAAATAATTATGCATGCGGAGTAATTCGAAATTTTTTTCATTGTCACAAATTTTAATGTGTCTATTCACCATGAAATAAGACTGTGTTTGTTCTCATAATTTATTTGAATAAAAAATATTGGAGGAAAAACTTTAAAAATTGATTTATGTGTAAGACGTGTTTAGAGTGCAAAAAGGTCAAACTAAATGCTCTGTAGCGCCAAAAGAAGCGCATTGACCCCCATTTTTTGTTTTGATTTTTAATTAAGCTATGTGTATAAATACTAAAATATACTTGATAAAAAATTCTCATTACTTTTGATGGCAGGATCCAACCTCCTTAAGATCTAGTAAAACCACCATACCTTATCTTTGCCCTACAAGTTTGTTTACATGTACAGTATTAAATATTGTAGGAATCACCTAGTCTATCTGGTTGTTCAAATGATATCTAGACCATGAAAAATGAAGAAAAAAAACTTTGATGGTTATACATGTATTTGACAAAATGATTGGATACTTTGAAAGGGTGTGTTATGACCATGGCTCAAGGTTACTAGGATTAGTTCAAGACCATAGCTAGAATCATCTTTTATATGTGTTTTGTCAATGAGGAAGCATTGAATGCTCTTTTATTACTTATTACCAGAAAGATCATAGGTCATTTTGAAAAGTTCAAGGTCACTAGTGCAAAAAATATGATGTAAATGTGTTTTATTTTGTATATAAAGTATTTGGTGGAAATTGATTTTTAAACTAGTTAGCAAAGATGTGCTTTCTGAATGTGCTTTATATTATATATATCTACAAGACATTTAGCAATGTAATTGATTTATCAGAAGCTGCTTTCAGTAAAAGACACTTAATAGCATACACACCAAATTTAATACATATTCAGTAAATCATATGTGCAAATTTGGGCTTTTTAATTGAGAAACGTTGGAAAATTTGCATTCCTATTGTCTGTAAATGTGTCTTGACATTAGAAAAGTTTATTTTGAAATGTGAACTTTGTTATAAAATACAGTGGTAGCTCAAACAAATTCCACACATATTGAGTCACCATGAAATCTAATGAATCCACAATATAGAATGTTTATTAGCTCACCACAACAAAGTTAGGGGAGCTTATGTGATACCCTTGGTGTTGGCCCATGTTAAAATTTTTGGAGCAGTTTTCTTTTTAAGTAATTCTATGCCCTAAATTAATCAGAGATGCATGGAAGATGCTTCTAGTGTGTTTCATTGTACCAGTCAAGGTTTCAGATGCTGCAATTTCAGCTAAGGAATGACCAGATTAATGTTTTAAAGCAAGTTAAAGTTTTGGGAGCAGGTTAAAGTTTTTGGAGCAGGTCTCATTTCCAAGTAACTATAAGCCCTATGTTGACCAAACCTGCATGGATAATGCATCTATAAGGATGCTTACTACCAGGCTTGCTTCAGATTCTGGATCTGACCTACATTTTCCGGATGAGTGACCAGGTTAAAGGTTTTGGAGCAGATCTCATTTTTAAGTGTAACAATATGCCCTCTGTTGACCAAACCTGCATGGATGATACATTTAAGAAATCCGATGGACACTACCAGGCTTGAATCAATGCTGGATTTGACCTACATTTTCTGGATGAGTGACCAGGTTTAAGTTTTTGGAGCAGGTTCATTACCAAGAAACTATAAGGCCTATCTGAACCAAACATATGCATATATTATGCATCACGTGATGAACACTGTCAAATTTGCTTTAGATGCTGGATTTGACTTGCATTGTCTGGATGAGTGACTAGTTTTAAGTAATGTTAGGTAAGTCCTTTCCCATTCCCAGACCAAAATTGCATAAATGTTACATCTAGGGATGCACACTACTAGATTATTAATTTAGTGTTGGACTTTGCTTTACTGAAAGACAACATTTGTTGAGGTGAGCTTTGTAATCTCTGATTACCTATGTTTAACTACGTAATTGTAAGAACATTTCAAGACTTGTGTCTTTTGTGAATTCACTCAACATAATGATACACTGTAGTACATAATTTTTTTTGCAAGGGTTGTAATACATGAATGAAAGGAAAATAGGGCTTGCTATTTCTCATTTACCATTGATTCAATAGAACTCTGAGAACAAAACATGTCAGGGATGAATACATTTTATCCATATTTTGCAATGTTAAGCCTGGACAATTATAAGTACATGAATTACAAGGATTAAATAAGTTGGAAAAGATGTCTTTCTATTCAACTTAAAAATAGTTGAATTTTTTGATGTTGATTTCCTGTATTTATTTTATATTTGGGATTTCCCTTTTATAAAACATCAGAAGTTACTACTACTACAGTCAAACCTCATTATTTCGAACTCAATGGGGCCGAGAAAAATATTTGAGATATCGGAGGATTCGAGATATCCAGGGTAAAATACTTAACAAATAAGGAGTTTGGACTTCCAAATCACTTCGACATATCCATAGTATTTTAGATATCAGTGTTCGAGATACCGAAGTTCAACTGTATATGGATCTTTTCTTTTACAGCATTGGTGGATTTCAAAGTAGCATATAATGTCACTGATACAGTTAGTACTGTTGACTCCCAAGGTTTCACATCAGTGTCCTCTATCTTTAAGCAAGGTGACCAGCTTAATTTGCCGTGGACTGATGGGAACAAGTTGGATGTAACTGTACGCGCAATAGATGTGCTGGGTAAATATCTGGATGAATCTGTAACGGTTTACAGAGATGCATCACCACCTCATATCGAGGATTTGTGGCTGACACGTGGAGATAGATTGAATGTCAGTGTTCATAGAATCGAAGACTTTAAGGAAATGACGTAAGAATATGTCAGTAGTTCACTAGTAATAAAGGGGTTTCAGAGTTAACTTGAGATTTACTTCAGACAAAATTAAAGGGTTTATGTATTCACCAAAATATTGATTTATTCAAAAAAATTCAGACAAAAGTTTTAACTTGCCAACAAATTAGTCTTAGAATCATATTGTAAAACTCAGGGTTGAATTTAAAATCACCTTTGTAAACAAGATTCATTCCAACTTTCCAAAAACCTATTTAAAGGATAGAGTGGATTGCATATGACCATCACAGTGGACTGAACAACATTGCCTGGAGATTGTTTGATAACTTCACAGGGTTAGATGTACTGCATGGACATGAGGATATCCCAGCTCAAGGAATGGCCAATGTAAGCAGTGCTTATCGCTTAGAGCCAAATATGAAGTTAAATAAATTTACATGATAAAAGTAAGCTTTTAAAAGAAAAAACAACTAATTGCATTATGAACCACTTATTTGAAATTTATTCATGATGGTAATTGTTGCATAAGACAACATCAATTTTTGAAAGAGAGACTTTCTTTATTGAAGTTATATTCTTTTGGCTAGGTGGTGTTAATGACTTAAAAGCCTCTCACATTTATCTTGCTTTCAGGACACAGAAGAATGTGAATCAAAATATGGAAGCTATCCTAGAGGAGCTAACTGCTATGAAACTCCATTCTGGGGAGCCTACCACAAACATTTTCAAGTGAAACCAGCAATCAAATCAAATGGTGGACTTGTAGATGGGAAACACAAAGGCGTGCATGATTCTGATTATTACTTGGAGGTGACAGCCACAAACAAGGCCATGCTGACCACCGTACTGTCCAAGAAGGTAGGTCAAACTGAACACTGTACGGCCCAAGAAGGTAGGTCAAACTGACCACCGTAATGTCCAAGAAGGTAGTTCAGACTGACCACTGTATGGTCCAAGAAGGTAGGTCAAACTGACCAACGTACTGTCCAAGAAGGTAGGTCAAACTGAACACTGTACGGCCCAAGAAGGTAGGTCAAACTGACCACCGTAATGTCCAAGAAGGTAGTTCAGACTGACCACTGTACGGTCCAAGAAGGTAGGTCAAACTGACCAACGTACTTTCCAAGAAGGTAGGCCAAACTGACCACTGTACTGTCCAAGAAGGTAGGCCAAACTGACCACTGTACTATCCAAGAAGGTAGATCAAAATGACCACCATACTGTCCAAGAAGGTAGGTCAAACTGATCACTGTACTGTCCAAGAAGGTAGGTCAAACTGATCACTGTACTGTCCAAGAAGGTAGGTCAAACTGATCACTGTAAAGTCCAAGAAGGTAGGTCAAAATGACCACATACTGTCCAAGAAGGTAGGTCAAACTGAACACTGTACGGTCCAAGAAGGTAGGTCAAACTGACCACTGTACTGTCCAAGAAGGTAGGCCAAACTGACCACTGTACTATCCAAGAAGGTAGGTCAAACTGACCACCATACTGCCCAAGAAGGTAGGTCAAACTGACCACTGTACTGTCCAAGAAGGTAGGTCAAACTGACCACCGTTTTGTCCAAGAAGGTAGGTCAAACTGACCACCATACTGTCCAAGAAGGTAGGCCAAACTGACCACCATACGGTCCAAGAAGGTAGGTCAAACTGACCACTGTACTGTCCAAGAAGGTAGTTCAAACTGACCACTGTATGGTCCAAGAAGGTAGGCCAAATTGACCACTGTATGGTCCAAGAAGGTAGGCCAAACTGACCACCATACTGCCCAAGAAAGTAGGTCAAACTGACCACTGTACTGGCCAAGAAGGTAGGCCAAACTGACCACTGTTCCGTCCAAGAAGGTACGGCATCTGATAGAAATATAGCCAATAGGTCATTGGTCACTCATTCTTCTGATTGATGATCTTATTAAGAAGTATCCTGTTTATAAATGTAGGATACACGAGTCATATTAAATAGTTGCCTCTGAAAACAAAGATGATAAATAAAATCATTGATTTAATTTGAGCAGTTTAATTTTATAGTGCCAAGCCACAAACTTTATAACCCATTGTATGTATGTTTACAGTATATCTTATGAATTTTAAAGAAAAAATGGAAATATCTTTCATTAATGGTTTGCTATTGTTTATTGAGACCTTGCACTTTCCTTATTTTTATTCCTTAATCTGCTGCACTCTATGCATATTCTGCCTGCAGATAACAATAGACACTTCCCCTCCCCACACTGGGATGGTTGAGGATGGGATACCTGGAGGGGATGAGGTGGACTATCAGCAGAGTAAGACCCTGACTGCCCACTGGGAGGGATTCTTTGACAGGGAGAGTGGGGTGCTGTTTTATCAGTATGGATACGACACCAAACCTCTCAGTGCCTCAGCCTTTTCTCTGGAGGCTAGTGGAAATGTGAGTATAATTCAGCTGTACACTTGTCTTCAATTATAAAATTTTACAAGAATTGGAAATTTGTGAAGATATCAGTTTACACAGTGATGCTTCGGAACATGTGGATAATTAATTTCAATAATAGGGACCCCAATCAAATAGTGCAATGTTTTCACTTTTATAAACTAATATTTCATACATGTACATCCATTATTTCCTAACTCTGTGATAAAAAATTTGCATCAATCTCTCAGGGTCAGATTTTTGAGACCTACTCGATGCACGCCACCCATACTGTGACTACAGAGGGACAGTATTACATCTGTGTTGTGGCTTATAACCGTGCCCTAGAGCCCTCTGAGCCTGTGTGTTCAGATGGAGTGATGGTAACTACAGCAGTGCCATCTGTACAGGAAGTGAATATAGAGGGAGCCACAGTCACTGGGGGACTAGTTACAGACAGCAAAGACTTCTGGATTGTTACCAGTAATAGGTTCAGAAGGCTGATTAAAGATCCCACACCTGATTGCACGTAAGTCAGTCATCAGTAAATATGAGATTTTAAATTTTTCTGCTGCATACTAGTTTTATCGGGGTTCTGTTCAGAATTAGAGAAAGATAGAATTGTCTTAATAAAAAGTTCACATTTTGAATTTTAATTTGGTTATTAATGGTTTATGAATATATATTGTTTTACATGTAATCCTTCCTTTAAGTGCCAAAGCTACAGTTTTACCTGACCTTGACCTTTTACCTGCTGAGCACCATGACAATGGTACATTTGTAACAGTAAATGGCAGTGTGTTTTGTGCTAACTCAACAGGATCACCTGATAAACTGAGTCCCATGTTATCCAAATCATCACGGGTAAGAGGGGTCATTTTCAATAATACAGCTTTTTTGAATGATTTTACTGTTTGGAAAAGTTATCTAATGATGCGTGTTGAAGTGGTAAAATTGTTGTTTGGGACACTTTTATATAAATAGTGCACGTTTTCGAGGGTAACAGTTGAAATTGACACCCCAAGGAAAACCATTGTCAACCGACGCGTCAGCGGAGGTTGACAATGGTTTTCCGAGGGGTGTCAATTTCAACTGTTACCCTCAAAAACGTGCACTATTTATTTTATTATACTGAATGTCTTATTGATTTCGGATGTCATAAAAAAATTCAGAGATCGTCGTTAAGTTCACGCTTAGAAAGCTTTCAAACTCCCCGCTTCTATTTTTCTCAATAAGAAAGCTTCAGAAAAGATTTACCAACCTCTCTATTGTTTGTTTGCTACTCAAAAAGTCCTTTATCATCTAAAGTTTGCCTCGCAAGGATGTTTCGTCTGTCGTTTGTTGTTTTCAAGTAAGCTACATCGGACGCAAGCTTTTATTGACGTCGTTTATTCGGCTTCTTTCAAACGCACAACTGACGTTTTGAGAATTCTACGGTGAACCGTACGCGCATGATTTGAACGCATGTGATATTTTCGTAATGTTACCCGTTGTCAAGTGTGTTGCTAACGCTGAGGGTAACATTACGGATTGTTAAATGCGTCTAAACCAATCAGATTTTAGTATTTAACATGAAAGTATAATAATATGAAATGTTAATTGTTACATAATGACATGCCCATTTCTTTAGAATTGATAAAGTAATTTTTTATTTGTCGCAATGTTTTAAGACACCCAACTCTCTGAGACTAGCAACATGAATTTTGCTGAAATGGGGATTTTATGAAGCTGGGAGAAAGAGTTAGAGACTCTCTGTTTCTGTAAAACTCATTTTTTGCTACAAATACATGTTTGTACATAATTACATGTATCTATTTGTCATGTCTATTGGAGTTATCACAACACGTATATCAATATAACACATGTTTATATGGTGTTTATGTAGACTGCTAATCTGATTTGCTATGGTAATTATGGAATACCTGTTCTACAGGTAATTTGAATGAAGCATGTGAGAAAATTAAAGACAACCAATAGCTCTCTCTCTCAATGCAGACTGGCTTTTCCCCGCCCACTCGCCCCTACAATAGACCGTTTTTGCTTTTCTAAAGAAATGGGCATGTTATTATGTAACAACCATCATTCAAAAGAAGCTCAAAACTTTCCATTCAAAAGGAAAATTGTACCACTTATCAAAGCACAGTGTAGTGAATTATAAATGAGAGTATAAATTTGAAACATGTCTGTACTGGTACTTAAGTTTTCATGTTTTAACACCTTGGTTGTATAGAGATACTTTTAAATGTTAGAATATGAAGGTTTATAAGCTGTTAAAGATATAAATGTTTTCACATTTACATTTTAAAGAATTTCAACTGCTAATTAAAGAAGGTGAAAATACAGTAAAACCTAGATTTCTTGAACATATCAAGTCTGTCTGAGAACTTAAAGATATCTGAGGGTTAGAGATCTGGAGGTTGAACATTGCTCAACTGTATTGTATATGAATTCAAACCAATAAAGCTTGATTATATTGCTTTTATTGAAAATATTAGATTTCTTTTTTAATTCTGTGCAGCTGTTTTTGAGTTGGCTACCAGTTGCTAACCCTGGCAGTGTCCATGATTATGAAGTGGGATTTTCCTCTACAGCTGGGAGTCCTGCCCCAGACATCATGGCCTTCAAAAGTACCAAACAGCACCCCCACATCCATGTGTATCACACTGATGTACCTGATGGATCTGAGTTCTACACTGTCATCAAGACAATCAGCAAAGCAAATGTGGAGGGAACTCAGGTATGTAGCTACAGTAACATTAGGGAATGTGGAAGAAACCCAGGTAAATAGCAACAGTAACAATAGCAGATGTGGAGGAAACTCAGGTACATAGCAACAGTAACATTAGCAAATATGGAGGGAAATCATATATGTAGCAACAGTGACATTAGCAAATGTGGAGGGGACTCAGGTATGTAGCAACAATAACATGAACAAATGTGGAGGGAACTCAGGTATGTAGTAACAGTGAAATTAGCAAATGTGGAGGGAACTCAGGTATGTAGCAACAGTAACATTAGCCAATGTGGAGGGAACTCAGGTATGTAACAACAGTAACATTAGCCAGTGTGGAGGGAACTCAGGTATGTAGTAACCCTAACATAAGTAAATGTGGAGGAAACTCAGGTATGTAGTGACAGTGGTATTAGCATATATGGAGCAAACTCAGATTTAGCAACAGTAACAATAGCAATATGGAGCGAACTCAGCTTATGTAGCAACAGTAACAATAGCAATATGGAGCGAACTCAGCTTATGTAGCAACAGTAACAATAGCAATATGGAGCGAACTCAGCTTATGTAGCAACAGTAACAATAGCAATATGGAGCGAACTCAGCTTATGTAGCAACAGTAACAATAGCAATGTAGAGAAAACTCGGGTATGTAGCAACAGTAACATTACCTTTGTTTCTGTATCAATGCAATTTTTTTGTCACTCAGCTACATGTACCATACAAAACAGATCAAATGCAGGAATTAATTCATAGTTTTTAGCTCACCTTATCAAAAGATCTGAGTGGGTTTACTCAAATATTTCATTGGTTCAAGTCCTCTACTTGCATTGTACTGAAAGTACATTGGGCAACAAATGAAGCATTTACTGTGGAATCATCATTGTTCGTGGGGGACCAATGTTCGTGGATTTCGTGGTTCGCCCTTACCCACGAATTAACATCCCCACGAACGTTTATTTTGTAAACATATTGATTCATTGAATTGATCATTTAAACGAGTGACCCACGAAATTACGTTCCCACGAACACGTAAAAACCCCTGCAAATTAAAATGATTCCACAGTACTCATGTGACTGTTAAGACCCATGGACCCATTGTCAATTCTACAATTTATAAAATATCAACAAGATGGGAATTATATGCTGTAAAGGAACTACTTTTGAGATACAGTGTATATATGTATTTTTTCCCTTGTTGTACAGTCCATTGGTCCATGCTTCATGGATACCACACCTCCAGTGTTTACAGGACCTATCAGTGTCAGGCACTCAAATGGATTCCTAACTGCAGCATGGGGAGCGGGTGCTTTTTCTGATGCCCAGGAGCCTTACCAACTGAAACTAGAATTTGCTATAGGTACGAGTGTGTTGTAATATACTGATATATTGTTATATTGTGATATTTAGCACAGGATGAAATTACTTCATTCAGTCGACGGAATGGTAACTGAATGGCCACAGAAAGATCACTGAAAAGATCCTTTCCCGTGACTTTTCCGTGGTCTTTCAGTTACCATTCAGTCGACTGAATGGCAGATACATTTCAGTGGCCTTTCAGTTATCTTTCATTTGTATCTTTTTATTAAATAATGCATGCTGGGCTTATTTTTTAACTTAGAAATTTATTTCAAGTTTTCTTCGTATAATGGTGTTAAATTAATCTATTTCCGAATTAAAAAAAATGAAAAAAAAGTGAATATAAGAAGAAAAAAATCCTGCAGAAAGCAGGAGTTGAACGGTGGCCTCTCGCTTGATAGTCCATGACGATATCAATTACGCCACGGCGTCTTGTTGAATAATATGAGATTTAAAATCAATATATTTGTAGAAAATGAATTGGGACACCCAGTTCACCTGTTGTATCGAGGAGCTGGGAATGTGTATATATCTTGTATACATTTTGTATATTCTATGTTAATTGTGCGGATTTTGGGGGCTGACTAATTAATTACACATCTCTTATCGGGATGTTGACAATTATCGGCCATGGGCACCTGTTTTGTTGTTGTTGTTGTTTTTTTCCAAAGAAATGATTCAAGATGGATCTTCACCTTGGAAAACATTGTAAATTCTTAAAACGATATCTTTTAACATGCTAAATTATCGTGTTATCGGCGACGGGCACCTGTTTTGTTGTTGTTGTTTTTTTTTCCAAAGAAATGATTCAAGATGGATCTTCACCTCAGAAAACGTTGTAAATTTGTAAAACGATATCTTTTAACATGCTAAATTATCGTGCGATTTTAACAATCAAGAAACAAAATTTACAATATTAAGGTCCTTCCACAAGAGGCATAAATTATTAATTCTGTTTAAGTAAAATAATTTTTTAAACGATATCTTTCAGAAGCTAAAATATTGTGAGATTTTAACAATTAAGAAAGAAAATTTACAGTATTAAAATTTCTTGTAGAAAAGGCATAAATAATTAATTCTGTCTCGTCTTTCATAACCAGATATTTCCATGAAAACTAACCGTCTTATACACTGTGTTAGATGGATATAAAAATAATGAAAAACTATTTTAAATTAAGCTGAAAAATAAGAAAACTTTTTTCTCTTTTTTATTTTAAGAGCATTTTGATCGATATCCTCAATCCTTTTTTTTCAGATTGACTGTCTGTTTATCCATTTAACAACTTATCAAATTGAATGAGCTTGTGAAAACATTCATCACAGATTTAGAAATTTTACAATAAGACAATTCTATTCCCGTTAATTAAATTCTGATACAAATATTATTTTTCATCATTTGAATAATTTTTTTTTCTTAATCAGTTTTCATGAAACAAATTAGATATTCCAAAATCAATTTGAATTTTATGATTCCACAGATGAATTGTAATTTTTAATGTTAATAAAATTGTAATTAGACATAAATGTTATAGTTAATAATCACAATTTAACATTTTAGTAAACAATTTAAAGACAATTGAACATCTAACCATTACCAGTTCTACATGTACGTATCTGAATTTCATCACAATAAGAAAACAAAAACACATTAATTTAAAGATGTGAATAATTTTATTTAAAAATTTTTTAAGGAATAATTACCGATAAAACTTGTGAAAAGCCAATGAAAAGGCCGTTGAATTACGACTGAAAGGTCACTGAAAGTTGACGGAAAGGTCACTGAAAGACGACGGAAAGGTCACTGAAAGGCGACAGAAAGGTCACTGAAAGGCGACTGAAATGTGTCTGCTGAATGGTGACTGAAAGGTACCTGAATTGTGGCTGAAAGGTAACTGAAAGGTCACTGAAATGTACCTGCCATTCAGTGACTGAATGGCCACTGAAAATTCACTGAAAGCCGCCTTTCAGTTTTATCTGAAAGGTCTAGTTTCTTCCTGTGTAGTGTAGATGCAGTAATCAAGAAGTGCTTTTCATTTCCTTAGTTGCTTGAAGTTTTGGAACCAGAGTTAACAGGAGATTTTTTTTTTTTAATTTAAATTGAACAATTATTTTTTAAAATATCTTGATTTATTTTTTTATAAGTCTTAATGTGTTATTAACTTAGACAAACAAGTACTTTATAATGAACAGGACACTTGCCAAGACAAACAGATGTGCAGTCATACATTCCACTACAGAGTGGTGGATCCTGTGTGGTGGGGAACCCTCCAACCTGTACAGCCATTGCTGTATCAGACACAGAGTGGAGACTTCATGGACATCAGACGTATTACGTCACTATCAAGGCAGAGAACTCTGGTGGTCTCTCAACATATGCCGTTTCTGATCCATACATTCATGATGTACAACTGGCTACCAAGGGAGTGGTGTTTGATATTCAAGCATCTGTAAGTTTCTTGATTTGAAAAATTAAAAGATATAGGCCTAGGTCTATAAGACTTTTGTGATAAAGATGCTTTAATTTGCTCATATTTTTTTATTCTCTTATCAGGTTTTGATAATTTTGTTTGGTATTTTTTTAATCAATAGCTCCCTTATATTTATCATTTTTTACCACATATCATTTTTTTTAGCCATTGTTACTAGTACAATTGTACCTTCTGATTATTTTGTGTGTCAGTTTCAAATTTATTCTCAGACCTTTTCAATTTTAATCAATTTTCAGAACCTAGGTCAAATGCCTTTCACCGTAAGTAATGTTTTATATACAATACATGTACCAGCCAATGTACAGTAAAACACGCTTATAGCGAACACACTTATAATTAACTGACGCTTACAGCGAAGTGGTTTTCATTCCCCGCGACTTTAAACTGTATTGTAATACAAACGGATATAATGAATTAGGTTTATTACGAATGAAAATCATCTGTCCCTGGCACTTCATAATAAGCATGTTTTACTGTATTTTTGAAAGATTTTAACTTTGCAAATTAATGTTGAAACTTCAGTTGATATGAAAAAAAATATGATGTCATTCTAAACATTAACAGGACATAGAGGATGTAGATTTTATGACAACAAAAGGCAGCCTGACAGCCCACTGGGAGGGCTTCTCTCACCCCCACCTGAATGTTACATACAAATTCCAGGCAGGTACCACCCCAGGTGGTGCAGATGTTGTGCCTTCTTTAGATGTTGGATCTATGGATTCTTATTCTGCTACTGGTCTAAGTCTACAAAATTTCAAGGTATATGATTTGTTATTTATGCAGTGTGATTAAATGCAGAAAATGAATTTAAATATCTGTAGATTAATTTTTTGTGCATGTTTGAATACAATTTTAGACATTTATTGTTTATAAAAAAAATTACTTTTAAAAACATTATAGATATTTGTATGTCACTGTCATGATTTCATATTTGTATGAATTAATACAGTGGTGGTGTTTAATCTTCAGTTTATGAATGAAACAGAAAACTTAATTATGGTTCATATGCTTTAATCTTCAGATGAAAGTGTAACAACTACTGACACAATGTAGTTGTCAAAAGTAACATGTTGCTAAAACTTAAATTTCTAGAGTAATACTTTCATATATGTACGTACAAAAGTAAAAGAAACAAAATGTAAATCTCATCTCTTTTGGTTACAGACCTACTATGTGACAATAACAGCTGTGACCTTGTCAGGCAGTGTGACTGTGACCTCTGATGGGGTCACAGTAGTACAGGAGAGTGCTGTGTTATCAGGGATAGACATCAATGATGGAGAGCTCTGTATTATGACAGGTTCAAACCACCACATTCTTTATTGGTCATGATTAACATTTTTATCCATTTTAATCTAATTTTGACAATTTTTTTTCTCCAAAACTGGTATATAGTGTAAAGAATGGCAGATGATCTCGATATTTATATATTAAGAGGATGCTACATCCCCCCAACCCTCCAATAATTTTGTTATATGTATTTCCACATTTTAGTTATATGTATTTTCACATTTTATTTACGTTTCAGTTGACAATGGTACTCTCTTCAAACACCATTATGAGGTAAGCACAGTGACTTCAGCTATTGCTACTTGTATTTCTTTCAGCTAATCAGCTATGCTATAGGTAGTTCTGATCATTCAGAATAAACAATCTTTAATGTGTTTCCAAACTGAATCTCTCAGCCTACTTCTGACCTCATTTTAGGACAACAGGAAGAGGTGCGAGAATGACACTGACTTCCAGGCATCTACAAACACACTACAGGCCTACTGGCAGGTTCCCACAGACATGGAATTCTATACTCCTGATGCTCATTTTGCTATTGAGGAAATGTTACTTGGCAGTAAGCATCAGCAATGTTTATATAAATTTCCGTCTTTTAGTAAAAATTACTCCTTTCTGATAGACACTATTGAGGTGTGATCTGTGACAAAATTTAGAACACGAAGAAAATTTTGTTCCCATTTTGTGATGACTTGTAAATGAATAAAAAAAATTATGAAATAATGTGAGAAAATTTAATTTCTATAATATCAATATGCAATTTATTTTCTTTCGAGATTTGTGGAACACTTTAAGGGAATACGAACATATCCGCAAGCATAATGAAGCCAAAGTGACAAACTTGGATCTTAAACCTGGAAGAACATACAGAATGGCTGTCAAACTGTGTGCCATAACCACATGTTATGATCCACTGTACAGTGATGGAGTCATGATACTGGCTAATCCTCCTAATAAAGGGAAGATAACTGTGGAACACCAGAATACCACTCAAAGTGCTGGACTCAAGGAAAAGGTCTACTTCTTGCAGTTAATGGAAATCAAATAAAATTTGTTTGAGAAAGTATTTATTGACATTTGAATTACTGTAACACAAGTACTCATGTAAAAAAAAATTATCAGAAAATTTAAGACAAAAAATGAAAAAAATACTATCAATCATTTTAAGGCTTAAAAAGTTTTTGAAAAAGAGCTTTTCCCTCCTACAAGTTAACTGAAAGTTTACTGAAAGGTAACTGAATGGCAGAGCTCTACCATTCAGTCACTTTTCCGGACCTTTCAGATTACTGAATGGCAGAGTTTCATCCTCCCATTTCATTTTTTTTTAGAGAACAGTAAATATTCCAATGTCGAGTTGCAGTTGACTTTTCAATCTTTATCTAAGTTCTGCATTTTTTTAGATAATTGTCAACATGGATAGATTTTATGACCCAGATGTACAAGATCAGGTAGATAAATATGATGTAATCGATAAATATGAATGGGCCATCACTGACAACTCACACGTGGGAAGGACTCATACTGTATGGTCAGAAGTCACAGGGATTACAGTGACACAAGCGGGAAAAGGGGTAGGCTTTCCAAATAACCCTGGATAGGATTTTCATGTACCCATTAAGGATATACTCAACGTACCTTACCTACTGATAATTTTTCAAGATGTTCTTAATATAAGATTATAGTGCCATCAGATGTTCGAAGACAAAAAATTAGCATGTATTACCAAGGGTCTTGAAAAGATATCAATTGATGAAAATTCTTGTGTAATTTAAAGAAAAATATACAAAAATTACTAAACATATATTCTAGGTGTTTTGTTCATCCAAACTTGTTTTAGAAGAAGTGTACAACAGCATATATAGACATTAAAATGTAGCACACCGTTCCTTCAAGTGTTGGAACTCTTCAACTCCAGGGAAAAAGACAATAAAGTTCAAACTACGTTGCGTATGTCCATAAAATCATGGTTATAGAATTACTGAAAAAATAATAGAATGGTGTCTTGTGATACAGATGGCTTCAACTAACACTTGAACTACATGAATATAACAAATGGGATGACTTCAGCATATCCATAGTCTACTTCCCCTATTTAATGTACTTATAAGTAATATTCCGTCATCATCTGCATAATTATCTTGTTTTTGTCTCCCAACTGATTTGGTTTGCAAGAGCATGTTCTGAGTACAATGATTTTTTTTTAAATGATATAGGCTACTGATAAATAAGTTGATGTTACAGGGTATTCTACATGTGCACATCTTGTTTATCTATAAAAAATGCAGCCAATGAAGCATAAACAGCAGTGAAATTGGATTTGTAATTTATGTTATGTTGTCACAGATGCAGTTTGAGGTTGAGCTGGAGGGGCAGTTTGACTTCTCTAAATGTCGTCGATTTGCAGTCCGTGGGTATAACAAGGCTAAGCTCTTCTCCTCTGTCTCAGCGGACATTAAGGATTGTGAAGCTTTTGATCCAATACTGATCAAGCCAAAACATGTACTGGATGCTGTAGGTCAACCAGAGGCAGACAGAGGTAGGAGATTTTTGTCAATTTTATGAAAAATATAGAATTTATTGGGCATATTAAAAGGTTTTACAGATATCTACAATCATCAATAGGTGTGCCTGTAAATATTTTTAATTATTTTGAATGTTTCTTGAATGACTTTCAGCAGTTATAAACTGTGCAGTATTATCGATTCAGATGGATATGGACAAGCCATTTTCCTTGAGAAGAATGCTCGCTGGCCAGTGGCCGACAAGGATTATACACCCAACATGAACTACCTGTCTGCAGTGTGGCCACAGCTCCGATACAGGTCCTATGTGGTGGCAGTACTAAATGCCAGAACAGTAGATGCCACCACATACTATCAGCAGACTAATGCATTGACTCTCTCTGATCCTTGTAGCCACCCAGATGCCATAAAATGTAGCACAGTAGATGGTAATTTTTATTATAAAAGTAGTTCAGAAAAAAAAATTATTGAAGCAAGAAAGTTGAATATTTGTTTTAACATTGTTAATTTTGAAATGCATGTGTGTTTGAGAGAGAGAAAGAGAAATCCAAGAGAGAATTTAAAGAGAAAAGAGAATGACAGTGGCTACCGGTGTCACACCAAAAAAAGGAAAAGAGGTAAAGAGTGGTACATGAATTAGATTTAAACAAAAATGTTACTGAAACAGAACATATCTGTTAATTTTAGGGAGAGAATTTGTCAACTTTAAATTCAACCCTGGTGAATTGGTACATGGTCAGAGATACATAATTTGTATACACACAGTGTATACAGAGATAAAATTTGAGGAATGGACCCAAGTCCTGCCAGAGTTAAACACCTGTAGTGATGGTGTAGTGGTGGATCTTACTCCTCCAACACCTGGTAAGGTGTGGATAGGAAATATCCCAGGGATGCGGTACCAGGTTAGTTTTAAATTTCAAGTAGGCAAATAAAGATCATTTTAATCTATAGTATATTATAAATATTTGTAATGGATATCATTGATGATGGATTGAAATTCTTTAAATGAGACTTACAAGTAATTTCTTGATTCCATGTGCAGTTGTGTGTTAGCATATGCTTAGAGTACTCTTTGTGTTTTAGACTTCTACCACAGATATGTACATCAACTGGCAGACATTTGAAGACGTAGAGGAAATAAGTGCAATATCACACTCAACAGGCATTCAAGATTACCAACTCGGCATAGGTACCAATTATATTTCATGATGATTCTACACTGATGAAAAGTTAATTTTCTATACATAAACTCATTGTACAGTCAATTAGTTTTAGGCATTTACATATTTATAATAATTATTGTTTACAGGTACCACAATAGGAGGGAATGATGTGGTGGCTTTCCACAGTGTTGGGGTGGTGAATCATGCAGTTCTACATGGCCTCTACTTACAGTCTGGCCATACCTATTATGCCACTGTCAAAGGTACATGCATGCAATACCTTTAATATATAAATAGGAATTCAATAAATATTTATTAAAGAGCTTGTTTGCAATACATGTAATTCTTTAGGTACTAATGGGGCAAAACAAAAATATATGTTTGGTTTTCATAATATACTTTAGAAGTTAGAGTAAGCTTACATCTAGTTAGTTAAATTTTGTGGTCACTTAAAAAAGAAATTAGAAACACAAACACACACAAAGATTTCTTTCTAGATTTGTCAAATTTTATCAATAAAAAATCCTAGTGGTTGCAACACAAGAAATCAAACCTTTTTAGGTCATCTGCATCACTCTTTTGTCTTAGTGTACATGTACATGTATGTTGTGGAAAGACTCTTTTTACACTTCAGGAACATTGACATCTAGAATATTTTTGAAGTACACTAGGTTTAACATATAAACAATTTGCCTTAAGAATGCAGCTTAATTGCAAATTAAAGATCATTTGCAGCCATGGACTACGCAGGAAGAGTGACAACAGTGACCTCTGACCCTGTAGTCGTAGATACTTCCACTCCACAAAAATCTGATGCTGCCATCACAATAACTGGAAGGCACTTTGTTTCCAATTCTGAAATAGAAGCTTGGTAAGGAAAACATTGAAGAATTTTTTTATCGTTAATAATAGAGTTACAAGAGAAGTGATAAATGATTTTTGTTGTAGCTGGAAGAAGGTCTTTGTTGATCCTGAGAGCACAATAGATCATTATATGTGGGCAATAGGTTCTGAGCCAGGGTATGATGATGTCATGGATTTCACCAGAGAAGAATCAGAGTGCGGAGAAAACAGTCCACTAAATCCACTGGATCTGAAAGAGGGCCATGCTTACTACATCACCGTCAAGGTATCAGTTTCTTTTTATCATTAAACAATAGAAATGTTTTTTGCCAATTTATTTTTTTGCAATGAAGAAGTAGTTTTAATTAAGGAATGTTTTTAAGTTTTGTGTGAGTTATTGGTGTGTAAATTTACATGTTCAAAAGCACCAAAAATATACTCAGTGTTTGAATTTCTTGCTGCCCTATATTGTCATATTTTTATTAACGTCTCTGTAGTTCATTGTGATGTCACTTTTATGCTAGTTTCTCCGTGTATATTTCTATGCATGAGTATACACGAAAATGACATTCAAATCAATTTCACAGTTAGCTTAGTAGAAAAACATAGCAAATGTCAATATTTAACAAATGTCCCTCATTTTTGAACGAAGACATGTCTTCTGCATAAGTGCTTCATGAAAATATGTCTGTTTTAGAATTCTTAAATTTTTATATCATTCATGAACATTTCAAAATGAAAGACCTTACTTACATGTATATTTGCTTTCTAGATAATAAACTTGATCATTCAAATGCACAAAAAAATTGAAGAGAAAGGATTATTTTTTCCCCATATTACCTTGGAATATTTTGAAAATTTGCTTCTAAGTTAAAGTAATTAATGTGACATCTTTGTTATTTTCCATTTAGAGGGAGGATAAGTTGAGTGATGTTATGTCATGATTTTAAGAATTTATTTAACAAAAAGGATTGTACTTGATCCTTCTTTGTAATATATTTAAGGGAGGAGAAGAGTTCAAATACATGTACAAAATATTTACAGTAAAATACTATAGCAAACATGCTTAATATAATAAAATGATGCTTACAGCCAAATTATTTTCATAATTTATTCATAAAAATACAGTCTGAACTTAACGGATATACCAAATCAGCTCATAACAAAGCAAAATTGTCCGTCCCTGGCACTTCGTTATAAGCGTTTTTACTGTACATTAGTAATGTCTCTCCTTTAAGATTCCTTTTTAACAATTTAATTAATAAAAGTTCATACTCTCATGAACTACCACCTATGAAGAAGAATACACATTGACAATATTAAAAAGATGTGTCTTGAAATATCATATAAGACTTTTTTTGCAGGCAATCAACAAGGCAGGCCTAATGTCATCAGCTACATCCTGGGCCTATAGTGTTGACCTTTCACCTCCTGTGGCTGGCCACATTTATGATGGAGTCCCAGGGTCTAATCATTCCGACATTGACTTCCAGACAGACATGTCATCTTTAAATGTTTACTGGGAGGGATTCCACGATCCTCATTCAGCCATTAAGGAGTATTACGTCAGTGTAGGAACCTGTCCTGCTTGTAGTGACGTCATTGGCAGACAAGCTTTAGGGATTGTGAATTCCTTCAAACTGGATCATGTCCACTTTGGAGCTGGTTTGATCTATTATACATCTCTGACAGCTTGTAATACTGCAGAACTCTGTACCACTGTGATGACCGATGGAGTGATGATGGACAATAGCCCTCCCAGTATGGGGCTAGTGATGGACGGAACAAGAGATCAGGACACCGAGTATCAGTCCATCAGGTAATGGTCAACATTCATTTTTTTCACTTGATAAGGCCTGAAATGTTTTTCTTTTTGTACTACTGTAGATGTGTGGAATAAAACGGTTTCAACTTTACATTCATTATTTCTCAACATAATCATATAAATCATATAACAACGAGAATGTTTTGCAGAACTTACATAGGAGCTAAATGGCATGGCTTTGTTGACCCCCAGTCTGAACTTGACCATCATGTGTGGTGGGCAGGGACCACCCCTGGAGGAAATGATATCCTCCCAGAAAAAGACGTCCACTTGGCTACAACTGGGGTAGTTTTTAATTTGTCACCAGAACTCCCTATTGGCAAGCGTGTTTATGTTACAGTCAGAGCATATAACAAAGCTGGTAAGTCTTAATTTGTTCAAATCTACCAGAATAGTTTTACTGTTTAAAATGTGAAAGTGAATTGTGCAACTGTAGAAAATATGTAAGTAACAAAAAGCTTTTTTTCAGAAGAGATTGTACAGTGTATAAATATTGGGATGAATTTATTTCTTGTGCTTACATTTACAACATATTGTGAGATGTTTTCAAACACAGAAAATTAAAAGATAAGTGTTATTCAGTATTTTTGAATCAAAATACATTGTAATTCTTCATCAGGTTTATTTACTGACTCAACATCAAATGGTTTCTTGGTGGACACCACAGCTCCAGTCATTTCCATGGGTCCAAGGTTTGCCTCAGACTTTAGCCTCGTGTCAGATACACAGTTCTACAGGACACTGATGAAGGTGGAGTGGTCAGTGAATGACCCAGAATCCCACATAGAGAGACAATATCTCTCTGTAAAATCTCACATTGGGGGAGAGTTTGATCTGGCATCCACTAAGGTGAATTTAAAAGTTATTGTTGTCAATATTATTCACTCATTTTTAGGTTCAAAGCTGGATTGTCATATACAAACAGCTTCTGGTGTTTGTAGGAAAGATATAAAATTAAATGAAGAGATTGAGTAATATGCTGGAATAATGTAATGGATTTGATGATTTGATGCTCATTTTTTTTATGCAGGTGAATGGAATAGCAAGAGACTTTATCCTAACTGGTATGAAGTTACATGATGGTGTGACTTATTATGTAACTCTGATATCCTGTAATGGAGCTCAGATCTGCAGCTCTGCTACCACTAGTGGTTTGATGGTGGACACCACCCCTCCATCCAGAGGTAGGATGTCTGTAATATGTAAATTTTTTGATATCATTTTCACTTGACTCATGTGAAACTCTGTTAAAAAATTTGAATTGTAATGATCATGTATGAAAGAGAAATTCATTGTCCTGGATTTAACAGGAATGTTTGCTGTTGAAACTGACCATGCTGCCAACTTGACCAGACACAGTGATGGCTGGATGACATGGGAGAAGACAGCAGTCAATCTGGCCTGGCTAGGCTTTGCTGACCTTCACTCCAAGATTTCCCATTACTACATCAATGTAGGATCAGTCTTCATGGGCAATGATATGAATGAGGTAGGAATTTTCTGTTCAGATCCATGATATATTATCAAGTATACAATGTATTGTGTTTCTGGAAGGGGTTTTGAATTTTTTTAATGCAACAGAAATAGTTTATAAACAGTGTCAGGAGAAAATGGATTGACAGTTACACACATGCATAATTTTAATATTAAATGATTTTAAAAGAATATTTTTTCCAATTGTTTAAGACATTTAGTATATGTACAAGTATTCATAAGTAATCAAGAAGCAATCCATTTATTAAAATGATTCAGCTATTCCAACCATATTCCCTTGATAATTGTGCTTTTACATTTGAAGCAATCCTTAAGAGAAAAGCTTGTTTTGCAGGAGCCAGGTCAGCCAGTAAGAGTTGAATATGTGAATTCAGGGGAGGATAAGTATGATGAGGGAATCGTACAGACTTCTAAAGTAAAAACCAGTAGTTATGATGCCAGTCAGAAATACTTTTATATCAGCATGTGGGCAGTAAATAAGGTTAGTTTAATTTAAAGTGGTCAGCTACAGATCTGCAGCTCACTGGTCTGACAAAGATTGGGATGGATGACCTGAAAGCTACTGTTCTGTGCATTCAAAGTGTACATTTTTAATGTCCACACAAAAATTGTGCATGGTTCTCAAGGTATATCTCCATGTTTTTAAACTACCATTAGGGCAGGCCTGCTCTAGGAATAGTTTTACTCAAAATGTGGAAATATTTGCATGGGTTAAATTTTTGCTAATTTTGAATCTCAAGAAATTTATCACCATGCTGTTTCAAAGTGATATACCTTATTACAGATTTTATGTGTGTTTGGCAATATAAAGTCTTTAAATTCTGCAAAATTAATCCCCATGGAAATAGCAAAATTTTACCTTGTGAAAAAGAAATCCACTTTTATAGTGCATTTTTATACCCCACGCAACAAGTTGCGTGAGGTATAATGTTTTTGACCTGTCCGTCAGTCAGTCTGTCAGTCCTGTTTTTTTTGTCAGTGCAACTCCTCATAAACCGCTGCACAGAATTTCGTCAAACTTTGCAAATATTTAGCACACAATGTGTAGATGTGCATATTACCAGGAAATTCCGATTCCTTTATTTTTTCTGGGAATCTCGGCACTTTTCAACTTAGATTTTTGGCCATATCTTGAATATAGAGATGAACAGTTTGTCAGCGCAACTCCTCATAAACCGCTGCACAGAATTTCGTCAAACTTTGCAGATATTTAGCACACAATGTGCAGATATGCATATTACCGGGAATTCCTATTCCTTTATTTTTTCTGGGAATTTCAGCACTTTTCAACTTAGATTTTTGGCCATATCTTGAATGTAGAGATGAACAGTTTGTCAGCGCAACTCCTCTTAAACCGCTGCACAGAATTTCGTCAAACTTTGCAGATGTTTAGCAAACTTTGCAGATATTTAGGACACAATGTGTAAATGTGCATATTACCAGGAAATTCCGATTCCTTTATTTTTCTGGGAATTTCGGCACTTTCCAACTTAGATTTTTGGCCGTATCTTGAATATAGAGATGAACAGTTTGTCAGCGCAACTCCTCTTAAACCGCTGCACAGAATGTCATCAAACTTTGCAGATATTTAGCACACAATGTGAAGATGTGCATATTACCAGGAAATTCCAATTCCTTTATTTTTCTGGGAATTTCAGCACTTTTCAACTTAGGTTTTTGGCCATATCTTGAATATAGAGATGAACAGTTTGTCAGCGCAACGCCTCTAAAACCGCTGCACAGAATTTCGTCAAACTTTGCAGATATTTAACTCCTCTTAAACCACTGCACAGAATTTCGTCAAACTTTGCAGATATTTAGCAAACTTTGCAGATATTTAGGACACAATGTGAAGATGTGCATATTACCAGGAAATTCCGATTCCATTATTTTTCTGGGAATTTCGGCACTTTTCAACTTAGGTTTTTGGCCATATCTTGAATGTAGAGATGAACAGTTTGTTAGTGCAACGCCTCTAAAACTGCTGCACAGAATTTGGTTAAACTTTGCAGATATTTAGTACACAGTGTGTAGATGTGCATATTACCAGGAAATTCCGATTCCATTATTTTTGCCTTAAGAGTTTTGCCTAATATTGAAGGAACTTATCAGCTAGGTACAGTAGTATGAAAATCCACTGGAATCAGCTTTTGTAATGAAATTTTTTGTGAAATATTTTATGACCTTAAAAGACTCCTATTGATTTTGAGATCAAAATATTAATGATTTAACACACACACACACAAACAATCTTGGATAGTTCTCACCCCCCCCCCCCCATTGGTGCTTTGCCTTAAATAATTTCATATGTACAGTATATAAACAAATTCATAGGACTACATCATAATTTTGTTTCCATCAATTATTTAAATGTGTAAATTGTCATGTGTTGGACATGGACTTGCACTCATTTACAAATCAAAATCACTGAGGAATTTAAATAACAGTTTGTCAGCATAACTCCTGCACTGAATGTCCTGAAACTTTCTAGGTATTTCAGACATAATGTATAGATTTGTATATTACCAAGAAATTTTGATTCCATTATTTATCTAGAAGCTTCAGCCCAATTAAATTTGTAACATACAAAGATTTGAATGTCCTTGTATGCAAGAAGTTTTGATGATTTTTTGCAAGTTGTGTCCCGTTTTGAATTATACTTGTGTTTTTAAAATGCACTGTGCCATTCATTACGTGTTGCATTGTCGAGTTTTGGGGGAGCGTGGGGTATGTGAGCTTGCTCTCTTTTTCTTTCATTTATCTTTTGAAATATTTTTAAACAAAGCATCTTTTAGCAAAGTTTAGATTTAGAGCAGCTTTGCCCTGGTGAGAATGGCAAAAACCATCTTACAAACTGAATATCTTTCTGTTATATTACATTAGGATTTACTGAGGAACTGGTAAGGAAAAAACAGACAGATAATCTCAGTCAGTGAGAGCATTACGTAGTAAAGAGAAAGACATAATAAATAATTTACTGCATTTAACTTCAATTCAGTGAAAGATTACATTTATTGATGAAAATATGTGTAATACACTACTAAATAGAAGTGTAAACCACAAGAAAAACATTCAACTAAAATGTATTGAGGACAGTAGCCAGTCTGTGTTTCTTGTTGAGGATACCAAGTAAAAAAATAGAAAAGAAAAAAACAATATACTATGAATGAGAACTATTATTTGATCAAGTTTACAGTTCGAAAACAGCTGCATGAATTGATAGGTATAAAAATTGCAGGGGTTGAAATTTTCCTGGAAATCCCACTAGCCCAGGGCTACTGATCAGTAAAAAATTACTGGCCCAAACCTCAAACTAATAGCCCACCAATTTTTAAATGCAAAATGAAAACATATATAACAAGTTACTAAAGTTTCAAATGCTTTGGTGACTGAACAAATTAAAGTAGTTCTCAGTCAAAAGAAACCAGTCTACATAGAAAAGCAAAAGTAAAGAGAGGAGAATTTTTTTCCATTCTGCTAGTGCGACAGACTATTGTTACATTTAAATTAACTAGCCAGAGTTTTAAAGTGACTAGCCTCGGGCGTCGGGCTACCGTATATTTCAACCCCTGAATTGTTTGATATTTTTTGCCTGAAACTGAAAAAAGGAATATAAAGGCTTTATTAAATATTTTAATTTGATAATTTTCAGGTAGGGTTGAGCAGTTCAATCATACACTCCCAGTTTGAGAAGATCCCAGGGGGTGACCTATATTTGATTCGACGGTGTGAGGCTGTGACTTGTGAGGGGCACTGTGTTTGTGCCCCCCAAGACAAAGTCTGTCACCCTCCCCAAACAGCTTGCCAGGATATATCATCAAATAGTAAGAAATCACTCAAATAGCTTTTGAAATTAGATTAAATCATATTCTTCAACAATAAAATTCTATCTGAAGTCATAAATACTTGTGTAGCCTTTTTCCTGTTCATTGTTTGAGACAACTCTTTTATTTATAGCACATACATGTACTTTTGTCCTTTCATTCATTACTGATACATTGTTTGTTTCAGATCAAAACAACATACTACAAGTATATGATGTAGCTGGGAGTGGCACAAGTGATGTAGATTACACCCCGTCTAATGTAGTGTTACAGGGGCAGTGGGCTGTTGTCAACAACTTTGGAAATCCCCCAAAGTGGTAAGCAGCTAATTATAGACAAATTCTAGGTCAAGTAAAACTCAGACCAGTAGACTCAAAGAAGGATACCAAGTTACATAATAAAGCAGGAAGAATTATCTTTAACCAACTACAGTTGAACTTCGATATCCCGAACACCAATATCTCGAATAACATGGGTATGTCAAAGTGATTTGGAAGTCCAACCACTTATTCTTTAAGCATTTTACCCTCGATATCTCTATCCGATATTTCGAAGTTTTTTCTCGGTCCCATCGAGTTCAAGATAACAAGGCTTGACTGTATGTAACGTAGATTGTGTTACAAAAATAAAGGAAAATTTAAACAGATACAAATGTGGTGATAAAAGTATATATCTGTGAGTGATACAAAGTGCCTTTTTAAGAATATCATCCTGATTTTTTTTCACTTAGGTATCAGTGGAGTGTGGGGTATACCGAGAAATCCTCCCCAGAAGGAATATTTAATCAGGCAACAGAGAGAATATGGCATGATGCTGGACGAAATATGAAACAAATCTTTCAAACTAAAAATGGTACATATTCCTAAATTACAAAAAAAAAATCCTCTCTCTACAGTGATTGAAGTGACTTTGGACATTAAACAATTAATTTTTTTACAGGTATTTTCCTTAAGGAAACGGTCAAGTACTCATTCTTCCTAAAAGTGTGGTACGATGAAAACACTTATGCCGTGTTTAAATCTGACGGAGTTACCATTGCTACACGTAAACCTGCAGTGACAAATATAAGGGGCAGTGCAGTAAGTCTTACAACAATTTCACTGTTCATGGAACAATTAAGTTTCCCAATTTAAACTGCCCTTGTCAGGTATTGTCTGCATTGGTAATCAATTATGAATTATGAATTCATGAAATAAGATGGTAGAAATGTGAAAAAAATGTAGAAATATCTTTGTCAGATCCCTGTTGGAAAAAAAACTTGCATGGGGATAATCATAGAAACTTCATTCCTTGAAAAGTTGATGAATGGCTATGCATAATCTTTAATATTTTTAAAGGTTTGGGAAAAAATGTAATCTGCATAATTTACTTTTGCAGGTGAGAGAGAAAATGTTGGGAAGCAATTTTGTAGATCAAGATTTCATGAAGGGAGGGTTTCCTTTCACAGTTGAGTGGAATAATAAATTCCTGGATGCTGAGAATGCTATCAAGACATTCCATTTGTATATCAGTACATATCCAGGAGGTATGTATTTGAAATTCATTCCACTCTGCACATTTTCTTTCATAAGAAAAAAGGTGAAACTGAACAAGTTAACAAGGATTTAAAAATGGGTTTAAACCACTTGTTATGTACAAAAAAAAAGAAAACTTTCAAGTGAAATTCTTGGTTAGTATTCAAGTACAGGACAGAACCCCTGATATGTTTTTTTTCTCTCTCTCTTTTATTAAAACATGGTACATAAATAATTCAGTGTACAGAAAATCATAATACATACATTGCATAGAAATTTATAAATCAAAATCACAAATAATTGCTTACTTCTAGATACAGATTATCATTAATTACATGTGCTTTCCTTAGAATCACGTTTTGTAAACAAAGACAATTTTTTTTATCTTATTTCGAAAAACTTCTATATACATGTTTTCTTTTTGAAATCTACATTTCATTTTATATTTATAAATGGTAAAACAAATGAATGACAATAGATTATTCAATCTAATTGTTTTTAAATTGATTTCCAAAAACAAACTAATTTTTTTCCAAATATTTTCACAAAGTTTACACCTGTGCAGGAGATGTTCAGTGTCTTCAACAACCATACAATATTCACAAAAAGGTTCTACATCTTTGTTCCATTTACTTACATTTAAATTATTGTTCAATATGCAATTCAATAATTTATAATTGAATTCAGCAACATTTTTTCATACATATACTTAATTTTAGCTAGATATACATTTTTCCAGACATATTTGTAACTAAGATCAAAAGTCTTTTGCCACATATTTTCATAAACTGATCGTTGAAACTTTATGTTTACCAATTGAAAATTGAATAATAAAAATCACATTTAAGGTTTGCTACAGTTCTTACACTATTATCTCTAAATAAAAATGACACTTCGTTTTTAATATTAATCAATTTTGCATATGTACAATCAAAATTGTTTTTGGTTTCTCTGAGTGCCTTCTTTATCATGATATATTCACAGAGTATATTGTTTTTCTTTACCAGTATATTATAAAAGTGTTCAATACTAAGGAAGTTTCCATCATTATCAAAAAGATCTTTGATATATAGAATATCACTTTTTATCCAGTTTTCAAAACAAAGAGGTTTAGAATCATACTGAAACAGATTATTGTTCCAAATGAATTCCGATAAAAATTGGTCTCTCTTTAAAGCACAAATTTGTTTAACTTTTTTACATTTATTGAAAGCAGAAAGGACTTCACCATAAAAAAGTGGTATTCTTAGCATCTTAAAAAAAGCAGTATTTTCAAAGTTACATACACTTGTTTTAACAATATCATTAACTGATAGGTTTCTAAGATTAAGAATATTATTCAACATTTTATATATTATACTTCTTTTATCTAGTATTCGTTTTATCCAAGAAGCCTTCGCTGCAGTAAATTTACTCTCTATATCAACAATACCTATTCCACCTTGGTTAACTTTACCAATTAGCGTATTTCTCTTTATCCTATCTTTTTTCTTCCATAAGAAATTAAATACAAGTTTTGATACATTTTTAAAGAATTCATTTTTTGGATTTGACAAAATAAAAGCATTATATACCAATTTAGATAATGCTAGTGTATTTATTATAGTGCATTTTCGGAAGATCGTTAAGTTTCACCTTCTCCAAACACTCAGTATTCTTTCAAGTTTCTCTAATTTATTTGTCCAATTCATATCATAACAGATATCCTTATCATGACCGAGATATACACCTAATGATTTTACATGACTTTTAGCAATTCTAACACCACAAATATATTTTTCATTTAAATACATTTCAATAAATTTTCCTGTCAATAAACATTCTGTTTTGTCCATATTCAATTTCGTGCCTGCGACTTTGCTAAATTCACATATTGTTTCTAAAGCTTTTTTCAATGAATAAGTGTCTTTCAATAAATTAGTGCAATCATCGGCATGCTGTACGATTTTTAAATTTCCATTATCACCTGGCAATAAACCGATGATTTCTTCATTATTTTTAAGCTGAACTGCTAGTATTTCTAGCACGAAAATAAATAAAAGTGCTGACACAGGACAGCCTTGTCTAATCCCTCTTTGCATTTCACATGATTTTGACATCCAGCCATTATTTTTAACTTTGAAAGTTGGTTTAGAATATAATGTTTTTATCATTTTGATAAAATTTTCACCAAAATTAAATTTTTCTAGAGTTTTGTACATGAAGTTATATTCAAAAGAATCGAAAGCTTTTTCAAAATCGAGAAAGAGCAAAATACCATCAATATCATTATTGTTACAATATTCAAATATGTCTAATATTATTCTCGCGTTCTCCCCAATGTATCTACCTTTGATATAAGCACTTTGTTCACTACTAATTATTCTACTAGCAACTTTTTGCAAACGATTAGCTAGAACATGAGCAAAAATTTTGTAATCAACGTTTGTAAGACTAATTGGTCTATAAGTTCTTAAGATTTTCTTTCTCTCCTTTTTTATATATCAGGGATATCACAGCATTTCTTTGCGAAAAAGGCAAAATACCATCATCAATACTTTTAAGTAAAGAGGAAAAGAATGTTTTCTTTATATCATGCCAAAAAACCTTATAGAATTCTGCTGTTAAGCCATCTTGACCAGGGGATTTGTTATTTTTCATTTTAAGAACAGCTTCTTCACATTCTAATTTTGTAGGCAACATGTCACATAACTCTTTCTCAGACTTTGTAACCTTTTCGCAGTTAACATTTTTTAAATAGTTTTCTATTTCATTATCAGAAATCTTCTTACTACAATGTAGTATATAATGAACTATAAAAAGTAAACAAACATTTCATAATATTATCATTGTCACTGATAACAGACTCATTATCATCCTTGATTTTGGTTATTGCATTATTTATTTGCTGCTTTTCTTCAAGACCTAAAAAATAAGAGTTACTTTTCTCACCCTTTTCTATCCACAAAGCTCTAGATTGTACATAAGCTCCATTACACTTCTGAGCATAATAATTATCTCTTTCTTCTTCAAGTTGTCGTTTGTACCTCATATTTATTTCAGTATAATGTTTTAAATCTAGTAGTTTTAATTGAGTTTCTATAAATTTGATATGCTTTTTTTGATTATTAGCTTTATTTTTTGAAAAAGACATACTGAAGTCTTTAATTGATATTTTCATTCGTTCCCATCTTACTTTTGGATCATTTAACTGTTTTAATTCTTCTTTTTCGTCACTTATATGTTTTCTTAATTTTTCACAAAATTTTTCTTCAGTTAATAATGAGTTATTTAACTTCCAGTAACCACTACCTCGTAAATTTTCAGAAGTACTGAGATCAAAACCTAAGCCCAAATGATCGCTCATACGTATCCCTTCAACACTAGGTGCTCTACGCACAGTAATATTACAAAGCGGGAAAAACATATTATCATTAATAAAAACATAATCTATTCTGCTTTTGGGAATGTCCTCTCCATCACACCATGTTAAACCATTTATACTTGTTTTTCTGCTGGAAATCCAGCAGTCATTTAGATCAAAATATTTCAAAAATTTTCTTAAATTCTTAACACTTTTATCATTTTTACAGTCTAATTGACAATTAAAGTCACCACAAACAACGAGCCCTTCTATATTCATAGCATATTGACTTACCCAAGATAATAATCTTTTAAAAAATGCAATTCTAGAGTGTTCAGCGTTAGGTGCATAAACATTCACAATTGTAGTAATTTTTTCATTATATTTCAAGTTAACCAATAATCTTCTTCCATCAAGAGACTGATGATAATTTAATATTTCAACGGAAAGGTTTTGCTTGAAAAATAGTGAATCGCCCCTACTATATACGGAGTCAGAAAAGCAATGAAGTTTGTTCCAAACCATCGGGAATTGTATATAAATTCATGTTCTTTAACAAAATGTGTTTCTTGTAAAAGGACTATATCAAAATTGGAATCTTTCAACCACTCAAAAAGCATTACTCTCTTTTTATAAGTATTTAGGCCTCTCACATTTAAGGAGAGGAATGATAAAGAGTTTTTATTCATTTGGTCGGGGAGATTGTTAACTCACATCATTTTGTAGCAGATTCTTTTTCATTTTTCTTTTTATTTTTTCATATCTCGGATAAATGTATCAAGTTTCTTTTGACTGTCCTCGGTTTGAGAGCCTTTCCTAGGCACGGAGGCGCTCCTGAGTTTTCTAGTATATTTGGCAGCAATTTTTTGGACGATGACTCCAAGTTTGTTTTCACCTGGCCATTTTGATGGTTCTGTTTGAGTTGTGCCGATGGTATCCAAGCCTGTACCCCAGTACACGTCAACAGTGGACTCGGCAAAAATCGTATTAGCATTAGAGGCTTCAAGTTTTTCTCGCATTAAAGTTACTTGTTCAGCTTTTGCAGACACGATTTCTTCTATTATTTCCAGTTTTTGCTCGCTCCAACCCTCCGGGTCCTTTATGGAATTTCCTATCTTTTTAGCATCGAGTGCTGTGGGAGCGTTTCTTACCTTCTCAGCTGCAACTAAATTACCTGCACGTAGCGCTTTCATCAACTGATAAGCATGCTCAGCTGACTGGTGGTGCTCGCCAAAGACTTTAATGTCGCAAGGGAAAAAGTTTGAAATGGGATTTTCTTTTCCTTGGAATGCAACAACATTTTCAGTCTCTTTGTAATGTTGGCAGTCCGGAGATCCTGGTTCATGACCAGGTTCGCGACATACTCTGCAGGCCTTTTCACTGTTGCATTGCTGAGCTCTGTGCCCAAATTCCTAACAATTATAGCACTGAAGCTTTGGGGAGTTGGTAACTTGACCATAATGGAAGAGACGGCATTTTAGACCAGCACATGTAACGTTCCTCGGGAGAGATTTGTTAATCAGTGGTGCGATGTATAGAAATCTATTGCCGTTGAGTACACTGGTCATTCGATGGGTAACAGGATTTCTGATGTTCTCGTATTTGAGATCACTTTTGATAGTAACGTCAAAGTTATTCAGCATCTCAAAAACCGCACTGTCGTCTACAGATAGGGGTAGACCATTGATAGTGACCTTGAGTACTTGGTCTTTGGGATTTTTTGCGCCTGTTGAATATGGGTTAGAGTCATAAACTTGAACGGAAATGTTTCTAACCTCAAACCCCTCAACTAGAAGTTTCGAACGGCTCTCCATACACGTGAGATAAACTCTCTTTCCAATTGAATGCAATATATCTTGTCCCCAATTTTTTCACGAATAGCTTCATACAGTTCATAATCTATAATCCTTTCACTCTGTTCTGATTGTAGTTCCTTGTTCTTAATATAAAGAGGTTTAAACATTGGTTTTTCCTGTTCACTCATAGTGTAAATATAGCTACAGAGTACTACTCACCGATAGGCGTAATCCGACGAATATCCAAAAATAAACACAAAGAGTATTTCAAACACACCGCAAGTCTCATATATACATAGGTAGATAAGGTGTGATTAAAAAGGTTCAAAAACACCAAATCCAAATTACAGTAGATAGATATAATCCACTATAATATTGTCAGAAGAACGGAGCAAGTTGTAAACACGTCCATTCACCTTGCTTGCAGGTGACTTCAAACCCCTGATATGTTGATGTCCTTCCTTTGGTCCCCACAATATTTACTATATTAATGATTTACAAGATGTTAGAAATGTAAAACTTGGTAATCTCAATCCCCACCTCCCTTCCCTGCCCCATCTTGATGTATAATCACAGTCCCAAGAGCATTATATACATATTTATACCATATTTGTCTACATAAGGTTAATTCTCTGCTCTTCTTAAGATTTGTCACTTAATACACACAAAGATGACATTATGTACATCATTATTGTCAGAAATTAAAACCTTTCAACCTGCAAGTTTTACTGCACATCATTCAACTCAATAATTATGTAAACAATTTAACATTTTCTTTTTATTCTCGTTGTACAATTTGTATTTAACAACAAGAACCCTTGCTAGAAATACATGCTGGACTTTGTAGTTTAAAAAAATGTACATGATTACTGAATTCATCCACTCAATAATCTAATATTGTTTTGAAATCGAATTAACTCTGATGAATTGACACTTAGGATATCTTGACATACATGTAGTGGTATGACAGTAGTCCTGCCAATGTCGAGATATCAAAGTTTATTTACTTGTCTATATGCTAGTTACACAGCATGTTTTGGTATTGTTTTTATCAGGACATGACATTTTGGATACCAGTGAGGATTTACAAGGTACACAAACATCGTATAATGTGATGAGGTCATCTGTTCTCCTGCCAGGAATTACCTATTACAGTAATGTCCAGGCGTACGGATACTCGGACATCCATCACACAGAGTCTTCTGATGGATTCAAACCAGACAAGACAAAACCTATCACAGGGATTGTGTTTGATGGAATAGGTAACAAATTCTTGTACAAGATCATATATAATTTTAATTATCTGCAGCATATCTGTTACTCAAACAGACATCCTTTGAATGGATTCCAGTGTATTTAGGATAGATTTAATGATTTCAGAATAAAGCAGAGCAGTGTGTATGATTGTAAAAGACTAAAGCCTTGATTTTTGAGACTGTCCCTGAGTCCCTGTTTTGCTCATCATCCAAGGATGATTGAATTAACTTTTTTTTTCTTTCACCTTGAACAAATCTTGTTCACATATAATTTATGTTGTTCCAAGGGATGAAGCTCACATTTAAGATTTTTTTTTAAAGTGTAAAATAATTTGATTTTAGGTTTACATGACCTGGAGTTCCAGAATAAGTCAGATTTAGTAGCAGCTCACTGGCATGGATTCTCAGACATTGGGTCAGGTGTACAGCTTTATTACTGGTGTGTTGGTTCCACCCCTGATGTTGTCAATAAACATAAAGATGTGGAGTGTGGATACCAAAGCTGGAAGGCTGTAGGATTACATACCTCTGTGTCTAGGACTTTAGGAATACCACTCAATCACAGTAAGTAAGGATCATGAAAGGAAATGATCAATACTAATCATATTATGGAGTAAAGATTATTGAAGCAGTGTCTGACATGTTTTGTTTTAGCGAGACTGGCTTACTTAACTATAGTGTATGGATAAATTAATAGTTAATATTCAAGTCTTTGTATCACATGTAGATTGTTAAACTACTGCATTTAGAATGCCTTAAACTTCTGCTTCATAATTGATATGGATGAATGAATTCACCTTTGGTTTATTTCTTTTTAATTTGAAGCAGTTTATGATTTGGAAATTGTCATGATTAATTCTATTTGATTATCAAATTCATATGATTGATTGCCATTGATTTCCTCTGCACTTGTGTGCATGGTTTGTTTTTATTATGCTTCCAAACTTCTGAAAATCAAGTTCTTCTGTAGAACTCCTTGGCCAATTTCAATCACACTTGCCAGAAAGAATACTTAAGTAAGAATGTAAGCATTCTCATAAAGTGTAGATCAAAATTAGTCTAAATATAGGACAAGAAATATACCACAAATGGATTATGTAGGTGTTTGGGGGCTACAAGAAACTAAATTAAATCAGAAAAAATGTATTACTTTTTGACAAGTAGATAGATTCTTATATAAGTATTCTGATGTAATAGATAGATTCAAATCTTCTTCAGATACATGTGCATTATAAAGTCTACTGGAAAAAACAGATGTATACGAACTATATTTCTAATAGAGAGATTGAGATTGTGACTTAGGTAACTTTTCAGGCATATGGACCTCTTGTTCACTGAAAATGTCTTTCATTTCAGGCAAGACTTACTACAATAAAGTATACGCAGTAGATAATGTGGGATATAAATCTTCTGTGGTGGTCTCTGATGGTGTCACTATAGATCTCACCCCTCCAGAGCCTCAGTATCTCTTCCACACTGGCAGCAACATTCTAACTAATCCATCCTTTGAAATGTCACCTAATGTGTTACAGTCAGAGGACGTTAATACAACTGACATTTGCAATGTCACTGTGGACTACCAGCCCAGCAGCTGGAATTTGTCATCCCCAGGATGTGCAGCAGTGGTGTCCTCCAACAAGAATCTGGCCAGAGATGGCAGATCTTTTCTCTTTGTCAGAGGGAGTGTGACCCAAAGACTAAATGAGTTGGTCGTAGGTGGACTATATAGGGTAAATTTTTACTCCAGTCATCTGTCTATTAGCAGCTCTACCCAGTCAAACAAAGAGGGATATATACAAATGGGAGACAAGAGACATGTATTCCTCATCTACACCAAGCCCTACAGAGGAGATGGCAATGAGAAACTCTCAGCTAGGGAGGAAGTTTCCTGGCACAAGCACACCTTTTATTTTATAGCAATGGGAAAATCTGCTGATCTTCAAGTGGGCAGCGTGGATGAGAAGACTGGAATTTTTGTGGATCACATGACAGTAGAGCATGTGGAAAGGGACTCAAAGAACGGAACAAGTGGCTTACATGTACAGGCCCATGTAGTTTATCTACATGAGTGGGGCTCTGTCCATGGATCCTGGAGTTTTGTGGAGGATGTCAGCTCCATAACAGAATATCAGTGGGCTATAGGTAAATAGTTTTTGTTAGCTCACCTGAGCTGAAGGCTCAAGTGAGCTTTTCTGATCGAAATTTGTCCATTGTCTGTCATCGTTGTTGGTGTTGGCATCGTTGTCGTCATAAACTTTTCACATTTTCATCTTCTCAAGAAACAGTGGGCCAATTTCAACCAAACTTGTCACAAAGTATCCTTGGGTAAAGGGGATTCAAGTTTGTTCAAATGAAGGGCCACTCCCATTTCCAAGGGGAGATAATTATGAATTCGTGAAAAATTAATGGCATCATTTAAAAATCTTCTTCTCAAGAACCACTGTGCTTGAAAACATGAAACTTATATGGAAGCATCCTCAGGTAGTGTAGATTCAAGTTTGTTCAAATCATGACCCCCAGGGGTAGGGTGCAGCCACAATGGGCAGTCAAAGTTTTACATAGGAGTATATTGGGAAAATCTTTAAAAATCTTCTCAAGAATAGCAAAGCCATGATTGATCATATTTATATGGAAGCATCCTGAGGAAGTGTAGATTCAACTTTGTTCAAATCATGACCCCCAGGGGTAGGGTGGGGCCACAATGGGCGATCAAGGTTTTACATAGGAATACATAGGAAAAATCTTTAAAAATATTCTTCTCAAGAACAGCAAAGCCATGATTGGTCATATTTATAGGGAAGCATCCTTAGGTAATGTAGATTCAAATTTGTTCAAAATAAGACCCCCAGGAGAATACAGGGGCATATTTGTCATATCAATTCATAAGCCATTTCCTAGCCAGAGCGCTCAGGTGAGCGATGTGGCCCCTGGGCCTATTGTTGTGTTTTAATGTCCATTTACAATTTAATACCTTTTTTGTTCATGACAAGTTGTATTTTTATAAAAATTTTCACATACTCCAAAAGTGCAAGGAAGTTCTGTTTTTGAATTCCTTTTAAGATTTAAATTTTATATTCTAGGCTACACAAGAGGAGGGACACAGTTACAGAACTTCCAGAGTGTGGGACTGTCTAACTTTGCTTTTAACTCCCAAGTGACTCTGACTCATGATTCCTATATTTACATCACTGCCGTAGCCCAGAATTCAGCTGGTTTACAGGATGTTTCTTATTCAGATAAAATTCTGGTAGACCTTACCCCTCCCAGAATAGAAGAAGTCCTAGATGGTGATTTGTTAGGTATATAGTTTTAACACTGATGAAAAGCAGTTATTTTTTCAAATTATGGAACATTTTGTATTTTGAGTGAGATATAAAAGTGGTATTAAGCTGTACATTTACCTGAACATGCCAAAAATAATAATGAACTGTATTGTTTCTTTGTTATACATAACCATGGTTGTTAAGCTGAATAGATTTTAGTTTTGCAGTTTTTTTTGTGCAAGGATGTCCTGTTACCCAAGCAATTGGCATTATTAGAATGATTAGAGAAGTTTACACTAGTCTTGATTCCCTATGTTGCAGGAGAAGATCTTGATGCTTGGAAGGAGAACACTGTGTATGTCAACTGGAAAGTGACAGATGATGAATCTGGTCTGGAATACTGTGAATGGGCTATAGGTAATGATTAGTTACAGGGAAAGGAAAGAAAGGAAACCCAAATGTGGGCAACAATTTTCACTAAGAAAGGAGTTATACATGTATATTGAGATTATGTAGGTTTGGATATAGATATTTTAGTTATTGAAATGTTCAGATAAACAAAAGCAGATCTGAAACAGAAATAAGCAAAAGATTTTGAACATGAAAAGAGTTTAATTTAAAATACTGCTTGTTGTTTCTCTCATAGGTTATCAACCAAAAGGCATTGAAGTACAAAGTTTTGAGAAAATCAAGATTGATGACAGAAAAGCTTACAAAGATTTTGATCCAAGCCTACTTCAGGGGAAGACTGTATACTCTACAATACAGTGCCAGAACAAAGCAGGCTTACTGTTCAGTTTATCATCAAACGGAGTGACCATATTTGACCAGCCACCATCAATGGCTTCCGCTGTAATACAGACACGACCATTGTCAGTGACAGAGTACCCAGCTATGGATTATTATCAGAGCATAGACAACAGTCTGAGAATTGTATGGAGTGGAGTGGTAGACAAGATTGGAGTACAGCAGTACAAGGTTTGTAAGAGTTCAGAACTAACTGAACAATAAGTCTGACCATTTTGATCACTTAGGACTCTTGTATAAAATAGTTTATTACAGTAAAAGGAGCAGGACTGTACGAAGCATGAAATTTAAGTTTAGGAGGCACAACCCAACAGAAATTCTTGACAAGCAAAAAAGAAAAAGAAAGAAAAGGTCATCAGTCATTTTTGAGGGGGCACAAGGGCAATTTTCTAATGCATTGTATTTTACTTGCAAAACTATTGAGGGGGCACAACTGTAAATTACCCTTGTTTTCTATAGTAAAGTATATACTGGCAAAACTATTGGGGGAGGGTGCTCAGCTCCCCTACAGGCCAAAGGAGGGTCCAGAGTTGTAATCCATTTCTAGTTTCTGCATTTTTTTTCCAATGGCATCCTCTGAAAAACCAGGTTGATTACGCTTTGTTCCTTTCTCCATCATCACTTGTGGGTCCATTCACACCTGTTCACTTGTTCTCATGAATAGTTAATGAGACAGTTTGATTGGTTGCACTGGAAAGACTGGGAAAACCAAAAAATATTTGTGAAATCAGTAAGTTCCTTTCAAAGCTTTTTCTTTCATATTTGAACAGGGTTGAGCTTTTTGGCACACATGTTTCAGGCAAATTCTTTGAAGTTTGGAATGCACATAATTAAAACACATCCCTGTAATATTCCAGACTTGTGTTTGAGGACAGGGATCTGTATTATGGTCAGTCATGTATTTTTTGCATAGAAAATGTAATTTCATTGGGCACAGCCATATTGTTTTTTATGCCCCCGGATCGAAAGATCCCGGGGGTATATTGTTTTTGTCCTGTCTGTCTGTTTGTCTTTGTGTGTCTGTTTGTTGTCAACTTTAACCTTGCCCATAACTTTTGATTGGTTGGAGCTATGACTTTCATATTTCACATGTGTATTCCTTGTGACAAGACCTTTCTTTGGGTACCATCATATTTGACCTTTTGACCTTGGAGTTTGACCCTCTTTTGCAAAATTTTATGAGACTTTAACCTTGGCCATAACTTCTGAACAGTTGGTGTTTGGGGTTTCAAACTTCACATGTGTATTCTTTGTGACAAGGCCTTCCTTTGAATACCAACAACTTTGACATTTTGACCTTGACCTTTGAGTTTGACCTACTTTTGAAAAAACTTTAACCTTGGCCATAACTTTTGAACAGTTGGTGCTTGGGGTTTCAAACTTCACTAGTGTATTCCTTGTGACAAGACCTTCCTCTGGATATCAAACTCTTTGACCCTTTGACCTTGACCTAGGAGTTTGACCTACTTTTGAAAAACTTTAACCTTGGCCATAACTTTTGAATGGTTGATGCTAGGGCTTTCATACTTCATATACAGTGGCTGCAACGTTATTGTTGACAAACCAGTCGTGTAGAATCGTTTGTGTAACGTGCATGATCATTCGTGTAAGATGCGAGATTGTGCATGTATTAGACTCAATCGTTTGCGTTTTTAATCGTGCGTGATCCTGCATTAAGAAACATGTAAATTTCGTTTTGTAAGTTTTTATCGAAATGTTATTTGTTATAGAAGCATTTCGCTTGTCTTTTTTTTAATCCAAATAAAATAAATGAAGCGCGATTTACATAATTGAAAGCAGAATGAACTAATTATCGCTTGGAAATAAGCAATGTAGTAAGTCGAACAATATTGTGTTCTCATCAAATAGCGTGATTTTTTGTGATAAACCGTACTTAGATGTTTAAGGATTTTTTCTCTGATATTAATTATGTTTACTGCAAATTATGGTTATGATATTTTTAAAATCAATAGATCAAAAATAGATATTTTTACAATAAATAAACAATTCTAAATGCTTACATAAATATTTAGTCAGTGAATGTACATGTACATGACATGATTGTTGGGGTTTCGTTTATCAGTGTTTCTCTCTGGAGCTTACTTTTATTTATTTTTATTTTATAATTTCTACAAAAAAATGATTTGTAAAATAATTTTGATTTTAGAGATTCACAGATGGAAACATGGATATAACTTACAATTTAATTCATTTTCATGCCATTTTTTTTTCAAACTTATCCCTTTCTGCATATTTTGAAATCCAATTCAATCAAAATTCACAGTCCACCTACATGTACATCTTCTGATAGAAGGGGGGAAAAAAATCAGTTTTATTACGTGAATAATTATTTGTAATCTAAAATAAGTCTTACATGTATTTAGTTCCAGAAATATCCATTTCTATTTTTTATTTTTTTTCATTTTTCAAAGTCGATGAAATAATATCAATAACTATTTGAAATTTAAAATAAGTATTAAGCCTTATTTTATTTTGAAAATATCCATTCCTAAAGAATTTGAACTATTTTGCGTGAAGAATTGTTTTTGTGTTAGCTATCGTGTAAGATCATGTAACATGTAGAATCTTGTGCGTGAAGGATCTTTCGTGTAACAGATTTTATCATGCATTAATCGTGCGGAATCGTTCATGTAACATGATCGTTCGTGTAAGTTGTCAACAACAACATTGCAGCCACTGTATGTAATCCTTGTGACATCACCTTCCTTTGGATACCAACCACTTTGACCCTTTGACCTTGACATAGGAGTTTGACCTACTTTTGAAAAACTTTAACCTTGGCCATAACTTTTGAATGGTTGGTGCTAGGGCTTTCATACTTCACATATGTAATCCTTGTGACAAGACCTTCCTTTGGATACCAACCACTTTGACCTTGACCTTGACTTTTTACTTACTTTTAAAAAACTTTAACCATGGACATAACTTTTGAACAGTTGCAGCTAGGGCTTTCAAATTTCACAGGTATATTCCTCGAGACAAGACTTTTCTTTGGGTACCAACTTTTTTATCTTTTGACCTGGATTTTGACTTGCATTTGAGAAACTTTAACCTTTGCCATAAGCTGCCATACAGGGGCATCAGTGTTTCACAAACACATCTTGTTGATAGCTAGTTAATGTTAAAGAATAGGTGGCCCTTTCCCTCTTTGATTAATTTGATTGGACAGTAAATTCAAACATTCGTGAGAACAAGCAAAGTGGTATGCATGAACCCATGGTTGATAAGGAGAGGAATGAAGCTTAAGCAACTGTGGATTTCTGATGATACTCCTCTGGTTACTTTTGCTGACCCAAAATGTTATCACCAAAAAGCAAAGACCTTTAAGGAAGGGGGAATTTGATGGTTTATGTTAGGGTATATAGTAGCTAAAACTGACTAAAATGTTTTAAATTTTTCTTTGTAGATATCCGTGAATAGCAACAAGTATAATTTGGATGGTGAGGGACTTTCGTTTTCTGATGCTCAAGACGTGCTCTTTGCCAGTGTAAGAAATGTTGACCTTGGTCAAGGACAAACAAATGTTACGCTACAGGCTATAAATAAACTTCTGGAGCGCAGCATCCCTCTTCATTATAATCTGACTGTGGTTACAGACAAGCCCATGAAAGATGGTGAGTGCAAGTTTAAAAATGAAAAACAGTATCTCCTGTAACAGTATATATTTTGGCTTTACAACCCTCACCATCCATTACCCCCTAAAAAAAATAGTCTAATTCTTACTGTGATTTATTTTAATGTTCCCTCCATCTTGAGTGTGGATGAGAACATACATATGTTTGCTTTATAATGTGAAAGTTCCTTTGTATTCACGAAAGTTTCGCATTATAACACGATTTTTTTTTTCCTACGATAATGAGCTCAAGAATACATACATGTATGTTTACACAAGTTCACAGAAGAGAATAATAAGGCAGCATAGATTGAGGGAGAGTACTCACATGCATCAGTAGTCCTCCATTTTAGCATTTTATTAAAGACAACATCTTGATTTTTCTCTAGAATCTGAGATAAAAGTATGCTTCAGGTTGTTGAAAGACAGATGTTGTTTTCACAAATCCATCTATTCAGGCCAACAATAAAAATTGATTTGTTTGATGTACTCCCTCTGACCCATCAAAATCATCCCAACTTGATCCTCTTTTTTTCAGACATATAATTTAATTTTTTGTTTTGTTTACAGGGAAATGCAGATTGTATATTTTTTAAATAAGTTTTATCATTTTTCAAAGATTCTTTTTAATGTTAAGGCTTTTATTGCAATAAAAGCTGTCCTTTTACTTACATTTTATATTTTATGAAAACATCAATAATTTTTTCCAAGTATGTGGTTATAATGACAATTAGCGTTGTTGTAGGTACTTTAAAAAAACTACCTACCAATGCACCTTGAAAAATGGGGGATGGCGTACAGCAGACAAAATTTTTTTAAATCATGGCCTCAGGGACAAAATGTTAAATACTGGTATTTATTTACCTGATTTACATGCAGACATTTCTTTTTTTTTCTCTTTATATGAATGTGTGTACCTTGAAGAAAAAAATTAAATGTTTGCAACTAGTAGAATTATTTTAAAAATATCCCCTTTCTTTGTAGCTTCTAAACAACTCTCTTTAACGTGGCATGATGGAAACAAAGAATTTGTTGTATCATGGGATGGAATTTTTACATCCAGTCATCCACTGAGGTTTGAAGTATCAGCTGGAACTGCATTGGGTGGGGGTAACATCATCCAATGGCAAGAGACCCGTGCCACTAGTATAACATTTGGACTACCAGAATCGGTGACTGGTACTTCACGACTCAAGGTCTACATGATTGTTCGTGCCATAACAGCTGGTGGAGATTACAGTGATATACTTGGAACTATCACCTTACCTGCCTAATCAAAGGGGAGATTCAAATTCAACACTTTCTATAAAATTTTTTGAAAAATTTATATAGAATACATACATATTTTGTGTATAATAGACCATGCATTTACACAAAGGTAATTTTTACATTTGGTAAAAAAATTAGAGTTAAGTGGCTTTTTTTTTCTTCTTGATGAACCAGAACAAGAGATATATGTTTTAACTCAGTTCAAATTAATTAGTACTTGTTATAATTATCAACACAAGGAATATACATGTAAGATGTCACATTTATTCACTGGTGTTACCATTGCTGCTTAGTTTCAAGTCCAGATGCTGCTTCTCTCTTTTTTACATGTAACTTGAGAACAAACCAGTAGAGCTACAGAGACTTTGGTTTATTTTATATTTTTTTCATCTTTTAGCTCCACTGGTTGAAGAAAAGTAGAGCTTATGTTTTGATTATGTAACTTCTGCCATCTTTCTCACTGTCCATAAACAAATTTTCAAAATACTATTCCTCCTACAGTTTTGGTCCAATTTCAGTAAATTGAACAGACTTTTCTATATTGCATTTTCATTTCTGTCAATAAGCAAAAAACTGAAAATAGATTACTTTGTAAAAAATATTTTCAAATGCTACTTTTCTACACTTTTGGTCCAATTTCAATAAAATTTGGTAAAGTAGTAGTCTAATTTAGACACACTTAGACAAAATATGGCTTTTTGACATTGATGAACATTGTACATGTTGTTATGGTTATTAATATTAGAGTTAATCTATGAAGTTCTTTGAAAAATAACTTCTCCTACAGTTTTGATATGATTTTTTTTTTCAAGTAGACCACATTATGATAATAATTCTCTGCATAGTTCTTTGTTTTAATTTTGATTTTTTTTTACTCATTTATTTTTTTTATAGTAGTAGAATAAACTCTATAATTTTTTTAAAAAATATTGCTCATCTAATTTTAGTTGATCTTTTTACACACATTGACTGCACTAAGAAACATAATTCTGTATCTGAGGAGGAAGTTTTACCTTTAATGTTTTATATACATGTAGTTTTATTTAGGAATTCTCCAATTTGTTATTGTACATAGGGCTTTCAAAATGTTATAGAATTCTGTGATGTTGCATAATCTGTGATAGTTACCTGATATTGTTTATTCACTTGATCAATCTTGTTGTATGTTTACTCATATTTTCTGTCATTAAAACTAGCACCATGACAATTTTTGTGAACTTTGCCTTTTTTTTCTTTTTCTTTTTTTTTTTTTGATTTATAACCCCATTCTTGAAGCCACCAAAACTTGCAGCCTTTTAAGGTTCTTATCAATGAGAAAAGCAAGCCCGTAATACTAGTATATCCGATGAAATTTATCAGGGGTCCAACGGCCATGAGTGGACTGCGGACCTCTGATTGCACTTGATCAGGTAACTGATATAACATTTCTGTGGAAGAATTGTGATCTTGGTGTTCTTCAGAGATATCGCTAATACTGAATAAGACAACAAAGAATTAAATTAAGTTGGCCTTCTTAATTGATTAAATGAAGGGCCATGTCACCTTAAAAGAGGACTCCGAGGTAAAAAAAAAAAAAAAAAAAAAAAAAAAAAAAGCTAAGAATAGGGTATAGAAGCATCTTTAAAAAATCTTGCTTTTAAGAACCACTTTGCCAGAAAAGAAAAATCTTATGTGAAAGCTTTACAATTAGTGCAACTATTCAGATGCAAGCTCCAGACCAGACAGCCCAGTATTACTTTACGCTACAACTCCATATAATTATTCCTAGGGAAAGTAGTCCCGGAGAATTGACACTGTATGGAGTTTGATTCAGAGGCCCAAGCTAATGTAGAGTAAAAAAATAAGGTCAATTTTGGAAAATGATTTCAGCATATCTCGGGAAGTACATGTATACGGAATTTCGGGAAGAACTGGTAGTAACGTAGATTGTTTATATGTGAATAGTTATGAATAGAAAGTAAAGTTATAGATCAATTGATTTAAAAGTATTTTATTGGCGAATGTGGGTACCCTATGAAAGGAGTTCCATACCTTTATTTTTTTTAACACCTTAATTTTTTTAAAGCGATGTAAGGGCCTGTGGTCTCTATAGTAGTATTTGCACATATGTCGTATTTTTCTTTTATTTTCCAAATTCTTAGTTGTGACAATCGCTCCTTTTTAGACAAATCATTCCAAGCGAATCTAAACTACTCGTAGATAATATCGAGACCAAAAAGTAGATTCTATCCTTGGGGGGGGGGGGGGGGGGGGGCACCCCAAGTAATGAAAAGAAATAGAATTCCGACAAAAATTGATACTAAATGTAGTCCAATTTGCAAAGTGAGTTGAGTACATTGAATTTTTAATTCCTGAACCAGTAATGTTAATGTAATGTATTGGTAATGTTACCTTTGATTCTCTGGAAGAAATCTGGAATTCCTGCGGTTTTAATATAACTAACTGAATTGAATGAACTTGTCCTATAATACCCAAGTCATTGAACAAGCTTTTTCAGAACGTTTTATTTATTCAGTTCAAATCTGATAAGGAATCAAGTGTTCAAAATGAAAGCTTTAATCTGTTGGTAGTCACACTTTTTTAGGTAAGAAACCAATTGACGCCTTATGATCAATGGCGTTTCCACTTTTTATGTGTAATAAAAAATCCTACTCAGTTCTTTAGAACTTAGAAGTACGTCTAATCATTGTTAATTAAATGTGCGAGTTCATAAAAGAGACCGCTTATTGCATTGTTGGCTATTGATATAAACACGAAAATCGTATACAGTCCTAAGAAGGAAATGCATATGCTTTATAGAAATGGGGCAATTTAAAACATTTTACACTGAAATAGAAAATAAACAAATAATGAACACTTTAACTCTTATTAATCATAAACCATTGGAAACCTAGGAACTTATGTATATGACAACAGCATATTTTTAGAAATAGAAATCTCTTGAAAATTCTTTCAATATGCTACTCCTCAATTAAACAGTTTTGGTCTGATTTTAATAAGTCTTGGTGTACAAGTAGACTATAGCAATATAAATAATTTTGTATTACGCTTTTTGAACATAATTCTGCTTTCAGTTTTTGATATCAATGAATGGGGTACACAAGTAGACTGAACCAAACTCATTATTCTGTTTATCAGTTTAAGAATCAACTTAAATTTGCCAACAATGGAACTGATGCCAGGCCCGTAGCAACGGCTTCAAAAAAGAGGAGGGGGGGGGGGCAACCTCCCAAAAAATTCTAACAAGCAAACAAAAATTTAAACGACACAAACGGTCCAACACATGGAGGCTGGGAGGGGGGCAACTTCCCAATATATTCTGACAATCAAAAAAAAAAAAAAAAAAAAAAAAGGAGTGTTCGATCCTACAGCGACAGAAAGTGGGGGCCAACCAAAATCTTAATGGATGCAGTAAATATGAGAAACATTCTTAATTACAATAGGATTCAGTCTTGTATTCCACCAAATTTCAAGTTGAAGTCCACACTTTGTATTTCCTACAAATATTCATCGACTGTAACTTCACAAAATTTTTTAATTACAAAAAAGCTTTGCGGTGTCTAGACATTGAACATCTGAAACAATCTTCCTACGTGTTCATGTTCTTCTTCTCCCACAACTATAGTCCTGCTGGACACGTCATAACTGGTGACGTGAATATAGTTACTTGTAATGATGAGAACCTAAAATTCCTTATTTTACATTGTTTTAAAAGGGCCAAAATTTAGGGAACCCCAGTCTTTCAACAGTAGTCAAAATTTCATAAATATTATGATGAAATTTGTCGAAGATTACGCCAACCGATAGACCAAACATGAAAAGAAGACCTTCACACTTCCGGTCAGAATGGATCAAAAGTTTCAGATTGATATCAATATAAAAACCATCTTTTCTTCTGTCTTCATTAATTCAGAAGTGAAAAAAAGAATTAGATAGATAACACTATCAATATGTACTGGTCCCAGCTGACAAAGCAGGTAACTACATTGTCTTTGTTTGTAAGGCGCATTATTATAATTGTATTTTAGAGGAACTTGGATTTAATTCTGCAAGTGGTAATCCAAGTTGTACTCATAGTTCCCTTTCTAAGGAGGAAATTTTTCAAAATCATGTCAGTTTTAATATCATTTTATATTCCCAACAATTACGAATTACCATACATGTACTGGATTCCTAAAATAAAATAAAAAAATTCTTACAACCAAAGATACATAGCGGGTTCAAGTAAATGTTCTACATTTTCAATAAAAATGGAACTCTTAAATTTACATACCTTTTCAATGGTCATCTGTAAAATAATTTTCTTAAAAAATCTTCTGATTCTACATATTACTCGGAAGTTAGAACTTTAAAAATGCTTGAGTTTTTGAATGACAATATCTATGTAGTTTTTGGAGACCAAGTTTTCTTTGAACTCGAAGTAAATGATCTGGCTTGTGTGCCATGGGATGAAGGATGTGTAGTGAACTTTAACCAATTTTCTTGGTCAAATATCAATTAATAAGAAAAAAAATGTAATATCCTTGTCCGGAGCACATTTCTCTCCAATTGACTCAGCTAAAAGCAGTGTTCTATGAGATGGTCATATTCTCAATCATACCTGCTTTAATATTAATCTGGCCTAAAACATTACTATGTAATGTTTATTATTCTGATTTCATGGTCATTCAGACTGAAACTAATCACTGATATTGGTACATTAAAGGACATTGAGTAATCTTGTCAGATTTCTAAATAATATTCAGGCATACAATTCTTACATCAAATAATAATTTTGTATGAAAATATATTGCAGATCGCAGATGATGTGAAGAAAATACAAGGGAAGCTGATGTAGAAAGAAGTACTGAGTATTTAATGAAGTTTATGAATGGACTTAGATGTGAAATACTACTTCATTGTTTACCATGGTATGTGATTTTATTTATTTTGATATCATTTTAAAATAATGTTTTTGCATATCAAATGAATCTATATTAAACATATGATTTTTTTATAATGCTTTTTCCTCTTTATAAATTTTCTTATTAGATTTTGAAAACACAGTTTACCAAGGAAATTAATAATATATATTTTGATTTAAACCTGCTGTTCTCTTTTCTCATTCTAGACAAGAAAGATTTACCATGGAAAATACAGGGATCCTTGAGCTTCCAAATGCTTGTCAATCATTTCTCAAAATTGAAATGCTCAATCTACCCTGTAGTTTCCATGGTATGGAAACAATTACATCACAATAACACATTGCTTCCCGTCTCAGAAAAATAAGGGAATCTTGAAGTTTCCCTGTAATTTCTTTTTATGAGACACCAGATAATTATATTCCACCAAGTTTCCATTACACGGAAACCGCTATGCTCCAATTCCATGTAGTTTCCTGAGTAATGGAAACTTTGGGAATCATGAGGTTTCCTCTGGTTTACGTTCATGGGAAACATGAGGATTCCATCGAGTTTCCATTCCATGGAAACCACTACGCTCCGATTCCACATAGTTTCCTAATTATGGAAACCAGTGGAATCTTCAGGTTTCCCATTACTGGAAACTACATGGAGGCTCGGGAAACTTCAGGTTTCCTGAGGTTTCCGTGGTTCGGGATACCTAATGGAATCGGAGCGAAGTAGTTTCCGTGCCACGGAAACTTGACGGAATAACCTGGCATTCTCTGCGGAAACCACTGGGAAA